TAGCTTAGTGACTGTGTAATACTGCCAAATACATTCATACAACCGCCCTCATCCGCACATGATCACTCATTAGTCATTAGGAAAGTACAAGTCAATCCAAATCAAATCCGCCAAATGACTGCGATCAAAACCACAGACAAGCCCAGGTGGGAGTGTAGCAAACTGGGCCCCACATGTCACGTGAAGCAGTGAGCAGCGCGACAGCTGCCTTAAAAATGAAGACCTGCCCTTCTATCCAAAAGATCTGAAAGTACCCCAAAACCAAATATTCACAGCAAGCCTATTCATAATAGCCCCAAAGTAGAAGTCAAAAAACCAAAAAGTATCAGTTGATAACCATACAATAGAGAATATCCAAACCATGGAATGCTACCTAATTACAAAAAAGGACAAAGCACTGATGTGTTACAATGTGGACCCTACAAATGTTATGATAAATGAAAGTCAATCCCCATAATCCATATAAGGAGATTACTTTATACCATCCATTACAATAAACATTCAAGTTAGAGATTTTTAAATTTTAAAAAATGTAAGGGCTGGAGAGATTTTCCAGTGGTTAAGCGTACCAACTGCTTATTCCTCACAGAGGGCCTAACTGATTTCTGTCATCCACACTGAACAGCTCACAACCACCTGTATCCAGCTCTAGGGAGATGCAACACCTCTGATCTCCAAGGGCACCTGTACTCACGTGTGCATAGCCACACACAGACCCATAGATAGAGACATAATTAAAAATAACTTTGTAAAAATTAGAGGGAGAGTATGATAGATGTGCGTGCACGTATGCTGTGTGTGTGTGTGGAGGTCAGAGAGCATGACAAATGTGCATGCTGTATGTTGTGAGTGTGGAGGTCAGGGAGCATGACGGATGTGCGTGCACACACGTGTGATGAGTGTGTGGAGGTCAGAGAACATGAGGGATGTGCGTGCACACACGTGTGATGCGTGTGTGGAGGTCAGAAGATGACGGATGTGCGTGCACACATGTGTGATGAGTGTGGAGGTCAGAGAACATGACGGATGTGCGTGCACACACGTGTGATGAGTGTGGAGGTCAGAGAACATGACAGATGTGCGTGCACACACGTGCAATGAGTGTGTGGAGGTCAGAGAACAGACAGATGTGCATGCACACACGTGTGATGAGTGTGGAGGTCAGAGAACAGACAGATGTGCATGCACACATGTGTGATGAGTGTGGAGGTCAGAGAACATGACGGATGTGCGTGCACACACGTGTGATGAGTGTGTGGAGGTCAGAATGTGACAGATGTGCATGCACACATGTGTGATGAGTGTGGAGGTCAGAACATGATGGATGTGCGTGCACACACGTGCGATGAGTGTGTGGAGGTCAGAGAACATGAGGGATGTGCGTGCACACACGTGTGATGAGTGTGGAGGTCAGAGAACAGACAGATGTGCATGCACACATGTGTGATGTGTGTGGAGGTCATAGAACATGAGGGATGTGCGTGCACACACGTGTGATGAGTGTGGAGGTCAGAACATGACGGATGTGCGTGCATGTATATTGTGAGTGTGGAGGTCAGAGAACAGACAGATGTGTGTGCACACACGTGTGATGAGTGTGGTCAGAGAACATGACAGATGTGCATGCACACATGTGTGATGAGTGTGTGGAGGTCAGAGAACATGAGGGATGTGCGTGCACACACGTGTGATTAGTGTGGAGGTCAGAAAACAGACGGATGTGCATGCACACACGTGCGATGAGTGTGGAGGTCAGAGAACATGACAGATGTGCGTGCACACACATGTGTGGAGATCAGAGAACATGTGTGTAGAGCTGGTTCTCTACATCCACTTTCACATGGTTCTGGGACGTGAACTCTGATTGTCAGGTTTACACAGCAAGTGCTTTCACTCCATTGAGCCTCTTGCTGGCCCCAAATAAGAAAATGTATAAAAACAAGGCTGGAACTACTTTCTGGAAGCTGAAGAGGGAAGGAGAATGGGGAGTGACTGGTAATGAGCACTGGGTTTCTTTTTGAGAGGATGAAACTGTATGGAGCGAGGTCACTGAATCGCTGGCTTTAAGATGGGAAATTATACATGTACAGTACAGCTCATTCTTTAGCTGTGGTGTTTGAAAGAGAATGGCCCCCATAGGCTCATATATTTGGATGTTAGTCACCAGCTGATTGGACTATTTGAGAAGGGTTAGGATTAGGAGGTATGGCCTTTTGGAGTAGGTGTGGCCTTGGGAGGAAATGTGTCACTAGGTGTAGGCTTTGAGGTTTCAAAAACCTATGCCAGGCTCTGTGTGTGTGTGTGTGTACGCGCATGTGTGCTTCCACAAAATGGCTTAACAGAATCCTGGGGAAGCTATGAGGAAACACTGATGGCCAAAGCCAGGACATTTGCATCTGCACATTAAGACTTTCAAGAGCTCTTCCAGAGGTCCTGAGTTCAATTCCCATCAACCACATGGTGACAACCATCTGTACTAAGATCTGGTGCCCTCTTTTGATGTGCAAGCATACATGGAGGCAGAACACTGTATATATAATAAATAAATCTTTAACAAAAAAGACTTGCACAGAATTTACAAATCACATTTATTGCATCATCTGAAGTTTACTGTTGCTCTTGTGAATTTATGTGTTGCTGTCACAAATACTTGACAAAACCGATTTAAGGAAGGACGGGTTTACTTTGGCTCATGTTGTGGCAGGAAGGCGTGGAGGCAGGCACGGGAGGCAGCTGATCCCATCACATCTGCAGTCAGGAAGCAGCGAGCAGGCAGGAAGGCTGCTGCTCACTCTCCTCTTTGTACCCAATCCAGGACAGTAGCTCATGAGAAGGTGGGACTTACAGGCCCAGGTAAACCTTTCTGATTACTCTTATTGACATATCCAGACGTGTTTCCATGGTGATTCTAAACCCCAATAACCATCACACACGTAATGCAACACTATACAAGACTTTTCCCGACAGCTCCACCACTATAAAATCTACCATGGGGGAGACACCTTGGCACACACACCACTCTGGATACTGGTGTCCCCACTAGGTCATCCCCACAGCTGGCGACTGTTCTCTAAATGCCAGCTCATCTCAGAACTGCTCACTTCGGGGCATACCTCTCTGACCAATGTTTCCCAGACTGTCGTAAGTATAAAGTGCCTGCTGCTACGACAACCCATGCAGCAGCTGCCGCCCAATGTCACCTGTCTGCCATTGGCTTCTTCAGTGAGACTGCCAACCCCAGCGTCCTCGTGCCATGCTTCTCTCAAACCCCAAGCAAGAGCTGTTTTCCAAGCCGCACAGATTTGAGGGGTGTGCAGCACTGGGTACTGGATCTGGGACCTTGCCACGGCAAGTGCTCTGTCCCTCAGCCTGAGCCACTCAGTTCTGCTTTTACTATAAATGCAACCCCAGGAATACCTCACTGCACCCACAAGCTTCCCTGGTCATTCCTGGTGACTCTTGAGCACCTGCCCAGGACATGCTGAACTCTGAAGAGAGATCGGTGCAATCTCTTCAGGATGTCTTAGATTTGGTCCATGTGGCACAAGGCTGGCATTCACCAGGAACTGGGCTGAGAGCACACAGGTGACAGAGAAGAAAGCTCCAGGATCACGTCAGCTCCACTGTTAATGCAGAGAAGCCACCCCAGGACCTCTTGCCCCATCCCACACCCCTTTCTCCATCATGCCCACTACTCCTACTGCAGATGAGCGGTGGCATTTAGGTCATGGATGACTGAAAGAAACGTTGCCCTGGCCCTGCCTCCCCTCTGCCTGCCCATTCACAGAGGGAGGCTGGTGGCTGTCTGGCTTCTCAGGGATATTGTCCCTTCCCAGCTAAGGAATATTGATCATTTCTGACTCAGGAATGAAGGTGTCACTTGTGAGTTCCCAAAACATGACAGATAAAAAGGGTGCAGTCATCCGTGCCTTCTAGGGACGAGGAAGGCTACAACAAGCCCACGGGTCAGCTACTCTCTCAAACATCCAGGCACACTGACACCTCAGGCCCCCGCTTCCCAGTCCTCTCTGAGGAAGTCACACCTCCAGGGAGCTCCCTTCCTCTTCCTCAGTCTCTGCTCACACACCTTACCATGTACACATGACAGCCACCCTGTCACCTGACACCCCCTAGCTCCTTGTCCTGCTTTGCTTCTTTTAGTTATTTGCTTCAAGGCGATCTCACACTCATTTCCAAGACTCCAGAGTGTAGGCTGGGAAGAGGGTGGGGAGGGGCTGTTCTGTTCCTGTGGTTCACAAGGGCCCAGAGCAGGGCCTGGCCCAAAGTAAACATTCTACATCTGCTGAACAGACGGACAGACAAATAAGTGTCAGCCACAAGAGACATACAAACCTGACAGGAAAGATGGGGGACGCTTCAGAAAAGGGACTGGGAACAGGAACAGTGATCCATGGAGACAACAAAGGAGAATACAACACCACAGGAGAGAACTACAGGAAACAGCACCAACACCACTGTAGAGAACTACAGGAAACAGCACCACAACACCAACACTGTAGAGAACTACAGGAACAACACCAACACTGTAGAGAACTACAGGAAACAGCACCAACACGGTAGAGAACTACAGGGAACAGCACCAACACTGTAGAGAACTACAGGAACAACACCAACACTGTAGAGAACTACAGGGAACAACACCAACACTGTAGAGAACTACAGGAAACAGCACCAACACTGTAGAGAAATACAGGAAACAGCACCAATACTGTAGAGAACTACAGGAAACAACACCAACACTGTAGAGAACTACAGGAAACAGCACCAACACTGTAGAGAACTACAGGAAATAGCACCAACACTGTAGAGAACTACAGGAAACAACACCAACACTGTAGAGAACTACAGGAAACAGCACCAACACTGTAGAGAACTACAGGAAACAGCATCAACACTGTAGAGAACTACAGGCAGGGAACAGCACCACCAGACAATCAGTAATGGCTCTGTGGGGAGTGGGGCTTTTCAGGTCTGCTCACCATGCCTGTAGTTCTCTCCTGTGGTGTTGCATTCTCCTCTGTTGTCTCCATGCTGTCTGCTCAGATATCACTGTTCCTCTTCCCAGCCCCTTTTCTAAAGCTTCTCCCAGGCAGCAGAGGAGGCCCACACTGTAAAGCTGGATCAAAGCCGCAGAAACACTGGGCTAGACACAAGGCAACACAGATTTGCTGCTTCAGCTTCAACAGCCGTCCTGAAGCATGAAGACAAGCAGGTGAGATGGTGATCTAGAAGGAACCTCACATCAGCCAGAAATGCCTCCCTCCAGACGACTTAAATGAGAAGCCAGCCCAAGTGTGTTTAGGCCAGCTTGCTGTCAGGCATTCCTGGTGTGCCCTGTCGGATCTGATACAGCATGGGAAGCCAATGGAGAGAGCTCAATCTTAACAGGTGTGAGGTCCACACTTATAATCTCAGCACCAGGAGACTAAAGCAGTGGGATTTTGAATTCCAGGCCATTATGGGCTACAGAGTAAAACCACACGGGGGTGGGGGGGAGTCAGGGGTCTTGACCTAAGTTCTATTATGTATGCAATTCCACTTGATAGTGAGACAAAGGGGGGCTCGGAAGTAGGTGCACAGAAAGATGCACCCCCTTTTCAAGCTCTAGGATGATAAGCTGGAGGAAGAAACCAAGGCCAGCTGCCAGGGTGCCAGGATGTTGGATGTGGCAGGGGGCACAAGAGGCTTAAATGGGAAAGATACAGTACAGGGTGACAACAGCCCCCCCCCCCCGTGTTGGTAAAGGCGGCTTGGATAGAAGGGAGCTGTCAGTCAACAGGTAGAGAATGGCTGCTTTACACCAGGCACATCGCTCCCAGGCCGGGCAGCAGAGGCCAGGGAACCTGAGTTGACTCTCAGAGGTCAGCATGAGAGTACCAGGCTCATCCCCGGAATGTCTGCACCTCCCTGTCAAGAAGCACATTCTCTGCACCACCCAGGACGGTCTGGACCAGGGACTGGGGGAGGACACAGGACTCTATTCAAGTGAACACATGTGACTCTTGAGGAGTACGAAGATGGACTATCCAAGCAGCTACTACATTGGCGCCTGGGACATAGCAGGTCCAGACGTTCAGTAAAAAGTACTTCATGGTAAATACATAACCGGCTGACAAATTTTTGAAATTTTTTTCTGTAATAGTCAAAATGAGATTTTTCTGGTTAATTGAATATTTCATCTAATATTTAATTAAACAAAACATAGCCCAAGGTTACTAATAATGTACTCCATCTATTTCTGGTGACCTGGGAAGGCACCTTTGAGCTTAGACACAAGTCCTGTGCTGGCCAACTATAGTCTTGAGGATATCTTGGGGACATGATGGAGTCCCAGGTTCCCCTCTAGAACAAGCCCCAGGCTGTTTCTAGAAGGCTGTGTGCCAAAGAGCTGCCTCCCTCTTCCCTCTGGTCCCAACATAACATGCCCTGGAGTGAACTGTCGTCTGAACCTTCTCTTACAGGAAAAGGTGATCTTTAAAGGGAGAAACAGCAGTCCCGATGCTCTCCCACCTCAAGCCAGTCCTCCCCAGTGGCCTCGGGAGCTTCTTTTTGTTGTTGTTGTTGTTGTTTCTGTGGCTTTGGAGGCTGTCCTGGAACTTGCTCTGTAGACCAGGCTGGTCTTGAACTCACAGAGATCCGCCTGCCTCTGCCTCCTGAGTGGCTGGGATTAAAGGCGTGCGCCACCACTGCCTGGCTGAGCTTCTCCACATCTGTGGTCTGTTCTTAAAGGTCCCTTCCAGCTGATAGGACCTATTTGAGTTCTGATTTCCTTCCTCCTAATCGATGCTGAAAGAAATAATTCCCTGTATAAAAATAATCACATACAAAGGGCACCATGTCAGAGGCTAGGGACGTGCAGCCAAGAGACACCAGGGCCTGCCTTCTTGAGAAGTTCACAGACAGGACTGGGGGCGTGGCTTGGCGTTAGAGCACTTGCCTACCACTCCAGACCCGAAGGGCAGAGCTGGAGCATATCCAAGCAGAGTAGAAGGCAGGAGTGAACGGCTCGTGGTGTGAGGTGCGCCCAAAGCCTAGGAAGAATTCAGTCACAGCAAGTGAAGCAGGCCTGCTTTGGGGGAGAGTCACCTTTGATTACAGAAACAGGGTCACAAAATATGAACTCATAACAACAAGAGTAATGTGACTCCAAGATTGATAAACCTTTACCTGCCCAATGCTATCTGGTTAGAACAGTGGCTCTCAACCTTCCTAATGCTGCAACCCCTTAATACAGATCATGTTGTGGTGACCCTCAACCATAACATTATTTTCATTGCCACTACATAACTGTAATACTGAAACTGTTATGAATCATAATGTAAATATCTATGCTTTCCAATAGTCTTAGATGACCCATGTTAAAGGGTTGTTCGATCCCCCAAAAGGGTCACGACCCACAAATTGAGAGCCACTGGCCTACACCCTCATACCTCAAAAGAAAGGTGGCAGTCCCTTCAGGTCATTTGCAGCAGCCGTGTAGCTTTGTGTGAGGGCGTGTGGCTGTCAGATGGGTCCCCCAGAGCAGGAGCCTGGTCTTGAGGCAGCCATGTGGCAGGATTGTGTAGGACAGGTGACATGACCCAACACAGCACAACAGCAGAAAGAGCCAATGGGGAAAAGACGAAGACACACTCCAGCTGCAGGATGGAAGAGGGCAAGACTCAGAATGGAGCAAGCAACCCAACACTGGGAACCACAAGAGCTTAGGCATGCTGGCTGGAACGTACACGTGTGTCCACAGCAATGCCACGGCTGGGATGAAGAGAGGGAACACATCTGGAAATGTAGAGAAGGCCCAAGCTGCTAACCCAGCAGGTGGCCATAACCATGCTGGTCTTCAAGGTGACCTGGTGAAATCCAAGATCTGCCTAGACTGGTACTGTGGCTTACTCCCTGAAATAGTAAAGTTTCTCCAATGTCAGGGTCCTGGGGATCAAACAGGGACAAGCGGAGTTACTGCTGGAAATTCCAGGTAAGTAAAGCAGGATGAACTCAGGAACAAACCCCTGGTCAAAGTGGGAAACAAGGGCCCCTTAGCCTCCTACAGGATGAAACAACAGCCCAGGTACCCTTTCCTGACCATAGCAGTTATCCAGATAAATACACATGTCCAGTGTAGAAAACACACCTTCCATGCCATAAGGGAAAGCAAGAACGGAAGCTATGGCGGACTAGGTAAGGAAGGTTCCCTAAGACAGAAGAAGGGACATTCTAGGCAGGGAAGATAGCTTGTTGTAAGGCCACCTTCAACAGAGTTCAGGAGCCAAGTGGAGCACTCAGGAGTACTGCCACAAGTTTGAGGCCAGCCTGAGCTCCACATTGATTTCCTAGTTTAGACTACAGTGAGATCTTTAAAAAAAATAAAATCAATAGGATGTGAGGTGACTAGCTAGGGCTATGCACACCTGTCATCCAGCACTTAGGAGACCATGGCAGAGGAGTGGGTGTTTAGATGCTAGCCTGGTGTGCATAACAAGACGGTGTCGCCAAAAACTAACACAAGATGAGGACATAGGCACATTTATGGGCAAGAGAGGTGAAGTCAAAGAAGGAAACCAGGCTGACAACAGAGCCTCACCAAGCAACTGGGATGTGACACTGGAGTCGACACAAAGATGCCATGGACCCCTGAACTCAGCGTGGTCCTGGAGGAGCTCTGCACAACCACTGGGTCAGAGAGGGCAAGCGAGTCGATGAGGGTAGGGAGTCCACTCCTGGACAAGCAGAGGCAGGGTGATATCAGAAGATGGCCATTGAGGCGGAACCTGAAGCTTATCTGACTGGTTCATGTCCTTAAGGGCAGGAAGGACACAGGACACAATCGAGAACCAAACCGACAGCAATGCCATTAATACTACTGAGAAATTCCAGTCCGGCCCCCATACCTCTAGGGGCCTCCCCAAGACCCTGTCCAGCCCACTTGGCTCAGAATGACGACTACTGGTGTCTTCAAAATGAACAATTCCGTCCTCAGAAGCCAAAGATTATTAAAAGAAATGCAGACTGACTGTGAAGGCACTTCTTTTTTTTTTTTTTTTTTTTTTTGGTTTTTCGAGACAGGGTTTCTCTGTGGCTTTGGAGGCTGTCCTGGAACTCACTTTGTAGACCAGGCTGGCCTCGAACTCACAGAGATCCGCCTGCCTCTGCCTCCCAAGTGCTGGGATTAAAGGCGTGCACCACCAACGCCCGGCGTGAGGGCACTTCTTATGAACGCCGTGAAGCTAGCAAAATAGACCAGGCTGATTCTCCATTGAAAGAAGCAGTGTAGAATGGAGCGGAAGACGGACTAGTTAATACTGCAGATCCATTTGTTCTTGGGTTGAGCCAGTGTGGCTCTAGGACACGCCCCCAGATCAGATCGCCAGCACGCTGGGCATGCATGTGCAGGGTGGGCACGCTGGGCAGGTGGAGGGAATCACACAGACTACAGGCACGGGAGGCGGACAGCGCTCCCGGGCGCCACCAAAGACTGCTCAAGAGTACAAGCATGGGCTACCCATGGCTCACCTTGCACTTGAAGCCGGCGGCGGGCGGCAGGAGCTCCCGCAGCAGGGCCTTGGCCACCTCGCGGCTGGCTTCCTCGCTCACGAAGTGGAGGTTAAGCACCTCGTGCGCCTCGAACTTGGCGAGGCGCAGCAGCGAGCGCAGCGCCACCCGGGCCTTGGCCTGCAGCGCCGCGTTGTGCTCCGCCTTGGTGAACATCATCAGCAGGTGGTAGTCCACCGGCACCGCCGCGCCGCCCTCCAGGCTCTTGGCCTTGGCGCCCGACGCCGACGCCGCGGAGCCCCGGGCCAGCTCGAACGCGGGCGGCGAAGGCGCGGCGGCCCCGGCGCGGGCCTCCTTAAGCCTCTTGGTGGCGCTGGAGAAGGTCTCCCGGCCCGAGCCCAGGTAGTAGAAGGCGCACACCGCCAGCGCCGCGGCGAGCAGCAGCGCGCAGTAGTGTGAGCGCACCGCTCCCAGGCGCGCCATGGCCCGAACGCACGCGGCTCCGCCTCGGAGGAGCCCCATGCGCCGGAGCCGGCGGCCCAGCAGCCGGGCCCACTCACAGCAGCGTTCCGGAGGCCCGAGCCCGGCAGCCGGACCCACTCACAGCAGCGCTCCAGAGCCCCCAGCCCGGCAGCCGGCGGCCGCCATGGAGGGGCGGGGCCGCGCTGCCCGGAGCCAATCGTGAGCGCGGATGCCTGAAAGGCGGAGCCATCGCTGGCCCCGCTGGGTCCTAGGTTCCGAGGGATTAGACTCGACTTTAGGCCCCTTCGTGGTTTGGCTGCTAGCTTGAGACCAGCAGGCTAAAGCCAGAGTCTGCACAGGGTCGGCCAGCCCTACCTTCTCGGCTCAGAGGGCTGGGGGGGCGGAAATACCCACTAGGCTGGGTCTTGAAATAACAAACACACCAACACATGATTTATGAAAATTAATGCTTGGCTCAAAAAAACGCTAACTTGCCAGGCTTTGGAGGCGCAGGCCTTTAAACCCAGCACTCGGGAGGCAGAGGCAGGTGGATTTCTGTGAGTTTGAGACCAGCCTGGTCTACAGAGCGAGTTCCAGGACAGCCTCCAAAGTCACAGAGAAACCCTGTCTCAAAAAAGAAAAAAAAAACAAACAACAACAACAACAACAAAAAAAAACGCTAACTTTTCTCTCTCCACATTGCCTTTTATTTCCTTCTTCTTTTTTTTTTTTAGAAGCTTTTAGCTCCCTGTCCAGTCTTTTAAGAAACTAGTCGGAGCCAAAACATTAAAACCAGAAAGTTCCTTTCTGTTTCACTTAGAAGTTTACAACACCCCAAATGAAATGGGATGACCCAGAGAACATGTGTGGCCAGCAGAGGGACCTCACTGCCCAAAACATCATAGTCCTTTCGGAGAGCCCCTGGGGAACATCAATGATGTTTAACTAATTCCAGGAAAGCCTGAAATGTCCCAGAGAGTTTTTGAAATTTTTAACGGAAGCATACTGAAGTAATTAGCCTGTAGTTATTTTAACCCTAATCAGTCACTCAAAAATCCATTAACTACAAATTTCTAAGACTTGGTGATATACCAAGAGCTCTGAAGTAAACATCTGCACGAAAATTCCACTTTTGTGGCATGCTGTTCTTTCCATGTGGATGAGGCTCACCTGTCCCAGCATCACAGACATTTGCAGCTCTGCCCTTTTCCACTGGAGCGACACTTCTGAAAAGCATCCACCCTCTCAAACAAGCCTGAGGAACCCCAGATGGCAGAATGACCACATGTAGTAGTTATCTGATTCCAGGTATTTACAAGTGACAAAAACATGGGGTCTCCAAAGTATAACTCAAGCTCTGCATTGTATCTCTCAAAACCTCCAAGATTGGGAGGCATGGGATGGGAAGTCCAGGCCAGCTGTAGCACTGCAAACGTTTACATGCGCAGCAGTTACTTGGCTATCTGAAAGCAATCATGCTGGAATATAAAATGAAGCCAACACTGCCATCACAGATATGAAAGACAACAGATTTCTTAAAGTACCTCATATTGAATATTCCAAAGATATTAAATTTACCAAAAATAAGTGGGACTATACAATAGGCACAAAGATTTAGTAACCATAACTTTTATGGGGGACTTACAAATGATACCCCAAATCTCTTAATACTGTGTCTCTAAATAACATAATCCTGAAACTTGTGCTTTTGGTCCCCATAAATACGGTCAGTTCAGCCGTCTTTCCCTCTGACACGTACTCCACATTATTTCAAGTAATGCTTTATTTTCAGGCATCGAGTCCTTTAATTCATGTAAAAGAAATAAAGCAACTACTTAAATTTTACCTAAGAAGTCAGTAAAACACTCAAATACTCTGCCCAAATTTTCCAGTGCCTGATGCTTGATATCCTGAACAAACCTCAACTCACCAAACCAGTCATTTTCATCTCAGGAATTTAACCCTATGAAAAAACCATAATGTGCTGAAACATCTCCTCACCAAGTTGTAGCCTATCATGACTTGTTCTTTGCCTATAAGGAAAATTTAATGTTGTGACTCCCTGAAGTATACTGCTGACAGCTACAACGACTTCAGCAGTGGATTCGTGGTAGGCACTGAGTAATTAAACTAATCTAGCATACCTGCTAATCCCAAGCATACATGCACCTGGGATACAGCATTGAAAAAAGAAAACCCTGCCCTTATACAGCATGCCTTTTAGCAGGCAAACTAGCAAGAAATACTGCCTGGTGCTGTTATATGTCCTTTCCTCAGCTACATTTGGGTGTAATCATAATGTGCCCATGTATACAAAATCCTGATACAAATAATAACTCTAGAATTAAGTTTAACTTTGGTCAAAATATGACTTCTAACTAGGTATTAGGCAGCTGGTTTTTCCTTAGCGATTCTATGACAGCCACCTATAAACTACCTAGTCAGTCAATTTTTCATTCTTGAATAGTAGTAATACTATTTTTTCATGCGTATTACTGTTTTTGCCATGGGAAGTTTCTAGTCCCCTGAAACTGGAGTTACAGACAGTTGTGAGCTGCCATGTTGGTGCTGGGAGTTGAACTTGGGTCCTCCTGAAAGAGCAGTCAGTGCTCTTAACTGCTAAGCTATTTCTCCAGCCCGATACTATTTTTTTAAATCAAAATATTTCCACTATTGAACAAGCATCCAATATGATGAACAAACCTTAAAAATACCCATCAAACCACCATTTTCACTTCTAGGAATTTATCCTAAGGGAGTAACATACTAAAATATTTAACTGTAAGAGGCCAGGTGTGGTAGCCTGTAATCTCAGCAACTTGGAAGGCTGAGGCAGCACAGTGCCTCTGAGTTCAGAGCTAGCTGGTAGGCTTGGGGCTATTATGGTTATAGTCCTTTGTGACTGAGGTCCTGCCTCCTAAAGATGAACTGTTTAGCTCTAAGAGCTGAATTTATGATAGCAAAAGATGGGTATTGAGAAATCATCAATGAAATGCTTAGTAAGTAATATAGTGTGGTCATTAAAAGTGATATATTCAGAGGTAGGCGACCAGAGCTCTGGTTTCAAGGCCAGTCTAGGAACTGTCTGGCTGTCTCAAAAACAAAAACAAACCAATGTAGTCATCAACTGCACATGGATTTTTTTTTAATGTAGAGAAAACGGATAAATTTAGGAGACGAATTAGCCAACGGCAATATGTGAACATTTGCAGACTGGCTTGGGAAAACCATATTGTTTTATGCAATTTAAGGAGATAATACATCATTATACAAGATCCTTTCTTTCAGATATTCACAATGAATGATCTGCTGGTGAAATGTTTTGAACTTCCTTCAGGAGAAAAAGCAAAACAAACAAACAAACAAAAAAACAGAAAAGGAGAAATATCATTGGGGCTTAAAATACAAAGCAATGCTGCCGTGAGTCTATGACTGCTGAAATTACAATTGTGCATCTGAAAACTTTCACCAAGGTTTTTAAATATTCCCCACCTAAGTAAAAGAAGATCATAAGTCAATATTGTCAGCGGACTGGGGAGACAGCTCAGGCAACAGAGTGCCTGCCAATAAGCACAAGAGGATGGGAGTTTGGTCACTAGGACCCACGTCAAAAAGTCAGGCATGGTGGCACCTGTCTGTAACCCGAGCACTGCCACCAAGGAAGCAGAGGTAAGATTCTAGGCACTCACTGGCCATCTGTCCTAGCCTGGCTGACAAGCCCCAGGCCAGTGAGAGACCTTTCCTCCAGTGAACAATGCAAACTGTGCCCGATGAAGAATGACATCCAAGGATGCACTTGTCTCCACATGTGCGTACTCACCTGCACACGCATGAACCCGCAAACACATAAGCATGCACACGTATGCACATGACAGCACAGGCAGGTGACAGAATTACAGATGGTTTTTCTTTTTCTTGAGCCTTGTTTGCCAAGTGACGCTACTGACTGCCTGTTTGGAGTCAGGCTCATCCGCCAACTCCCCTGCCTCTGACTCCCAGCGTGTGGAGATTAAAGCACATGCCATCATAGCTAGCCCTTTTCAGCTACTTAAACTTTATTTTGGCAATGAAGATGTACTGTTTTTGCAATAAGGAAAGAAACAGGCCTTCATTTAAAACACTTGCTGTGGGTTCTCTTTTAGAGACCGTTCTGAAAATGAGATGCGGGTTCACAGGGCAGATCGCTTGAGAGTCTGCATCTGCTCTGAGCTAACTTTTGAAGGAGAAGGAAAGCCAAGCTTCACTCCTAGATCTGCATTTCAGGTCTCCTTAGTCCCATTCACACAGGAGCAGGGTTTTGTTTACTGAAAGGACAGAGTATGGGTGTGTTCCCAAGATTAAAAACTCCAATAGGCATATCAATTATAACAGGGAGAAGCAGAGGAAGAGTCCAAAAGGTCTCTTGTGGTCTTTAGTTCATGAAGCAGGGGCTGCAGCATCTCTGGAATCGGGGAGAAGAAACTATTGAAAGATGGATTTCTGAACTAAAGTAATCATCGAATAGACTCAACATGGACCGACACTATTTGGAAGGATGGGAGAAGCAGATGGGACCTTAACTCTAACAGACGTTAGACCGTTACCACATAGTTCAAAGAAGTCTGAGCATGTACAGTGATTGTGCCAGAAGTGAGATATTTTTATTGACTTATTATTGTAAATTTTCAGCATACAAAGTAATCAAGTATATTTACAATTCTTACATAATGTACATTTTAGAATAACTGTAAAGATAATGTACTTTGCTCCATTTACAAAGACAAACTACAGAAAAACTACATTCATGAATTAGATACAAATCTTCTACACACTAATAAAAACTAATGGAGTGTTGGTAATACATTCTTAAAATCTCTTTCACAGGTAGCAAGAAATAGTACATGTGACCAATCTTTATGACCGGAATGATCAGGATACAGCGAAGCACACGGAGACAGAAGGAACTTGTCATTTCTGAAAGTTAACCTTTAGCCTTCGTGTAAATGGTGCTAACAACCTTGATAGCACAGCAAGCTTTCCCTGCTAAAAATTAACATTTAGAAGAAGGCTGGAGAATGAGAAAAATCTAGAAAATAAAATAGTAAGAAGACCGATGCAAATAAATGTGTATTTCATTAAAACTTTCTTTGTCCACATGATCCCCCTCTATGTAAACAGAAAAAGATACCCACAAAAATCCTTCTAGGTGTTAGGGCCCAGCCAAACTGAATCCAAGCCCTTTCTATGGTTATACGCCATTCAAAACCATCAAAAAGTTAATAAATGGTGAGCTTAACTTCATAATACTTTGCTTTTATTAATGCTTGCTATTGTAAAAAATGTAGACTTTTCTACAATTCGATGCTTTCAAATTCCAATCTAGTCCTTTAGCCCTCACAAAGGTTCTCCCGATTATCCGGAGTCTCTTCTCAACCACGGTGAAAGCTGCTCATTAACAGTGATTTCAAATCCTTTCATGATACAAGTGCTTTTGAAGCTTATGTCAGACCTGGGGCATGGCTCAGCTCTGCCTCCAACTAGCAGGGCAAGTGACAACCTCTGTAAAACAAGAGGACCAAGCTAGCTAGAATGAAGACACAGGCAAGGCTAACAGGCGTGGGTTGAGATCCCAATGTCCTCTGGCAAGCGCCAGGTGGGAAAAGGGAATGTGAAAGAATGCTCTAAGTCATGAAATGTACACAAAGTGAGGGTTTAGATTTCCTTTGTTTCATCCATTCACTTTATTTGTGGGGAGCCCTGGATCCAAGAAGGTATGAAACAGGATTATATTAAAAAAAAATTCTGGCCCATGTTAATAGTTAAAATGCAACCCACACAAAAAGTTAATTTGAGAATGAGTGGTCTAGGAATGTCCAATTACTCAAAGTGGGTAGCACGTTTACTTGTAAGTAAACAACTTGGTTTATGATCATATCTAATATGCAAAAAACTTATTTTAAATACTGCTAAAATGGTCACAAACTTAAATTCTCTAAAATGTGAGTGCATCTTTTTTTTCCCCCCAAAATGAACCTACAATGTGCTAAAGTACAAGTTGCAAGCTGAATTACTTTGGGGGAGGTAAACACCAAAGTCCACTGCATTACAGCAAACACTATCTGAATCAACAGTCAGGCACACTGTAAACAGCTGCTCATCACCTTCCTCTATGCCCATGTAAAAACTGCACTGTATGAATCCTTCACAGACCCTCTTTTCTTATTTTGGCAGTAATCCAATTTTTACATTAATGACAGCATGAAAACGAGCAAACAGACTAATAAGAATCAAACTATCAGAGCACGTCTTTCCCGGAGAGAAAACGGCAACCAGAAAGAGCCGCCTGAGTGTGCGACTGGCACTGTGTATACTCATCTCTCCTAATGTATGGAATACCTCACCACAGGCCACATGGAGCTATTAGTGAACACAGCAAAACTCGTCTACACCGTGTACTTTATAACTATGAACCGAAAGCCTTGCTATACTCCATTTCTTTCTGCATTCAATTTCCCAGCACATTGAGAAAACTAAGTAAGCCACAGAAATATATTCTTGCATTGCCAGCCTCCATGCAGTATGAAAAGACATAGCTTTTTCAGAACCACAATCATCTTTAAGGCATTTCAAACACACTTGAGTCTTTAAGGCTTATTTCAAAAAACACTCTAGCAGCAGACAGTACCGACTGCCACACCAAGGACTTCCAACACGAGCCAGGGAGGCAGGCAGATCCAGAGGACTGTTCCCAAGCATCTGAACCAAAGGGCAGCCTGTCCACACCTCCACAGATGAGGCAGGAGCCCCACAAGTGACTGAGAACAAACCCTGCAGAACAAGGCGGACTTTCTTCCCTAGCTCCCTTCCCTTAGCCTTTGTTCTTCCTTGAACATGTTTTAGGGCAATAATTTCAAAACACATGCCAATTAAAGTTAGGCTTTTGCCTGTAACACAATACCTACAAGGCCAGGTAATCTGCAAGTTTGAAGTGAGACAGGAAAAACAAAATTCCTTTCGTCCTGTGTAACTTTGCACTTCCTCAGAAACAAACCACAACTTTATCCTTAGTGTGTGGTGACTTACTAAATAGAGCGCTATATGCTTGCAAGTTGGCTGAACTATGGAACCACATCTGTGTTGCAAATTTATTTCAATATGATTTCTGCCTAGATTCTGATTTTATATTTAATCAAAGTAAGGCTCTACATACTGTGGAGAAAATGTTAATTTTTTATTTAATTAACTATACTTTTATATACATTTAAAAATGTTCCTGTGAAGCTGAGTATCAATGCTACTACTTACAAATAATTTCTACAAGATTAAACATTATCAACAGTGCTGGAAATGAACCACAAGGCAATTACTTATGCATTCCATACTCTGACAAAGACAAGTCAATCAGAGATGGATTCTCACCCAACTGTGTCACAAATTCATAATTCTGGAACTCAAAAGTCAATGACATATATTTTACTTAATTCTAAAGCTATATACAGGATACATTTAAAAAGAACATATACTGTTGTATAGTAAACAAGATAAATGTAGAAAAAATAAAAGAAATTTATTGCCGGTAAATTTTAGTATGAACAAAAAAGTAGTTTTCTCCATTACATGGAGATTTTTCTTTCACCAGGAGTAACAGTAAACGTGTGTGTGTGTGTGTGTGTGTGTGTGTGTGTGTGTTCCAAATATAAAAATGCCCTACAATATCTTTGAAATCACCAAGTTGTGATGAAAGCCCAATTTTGCAATAGTCAACTTCTGAAATGCGGTTTTATTGCACTGATGATCTGTCAAGGTTTTAGGAAATCAACCCAACAATAAAAACTGAGCTGGGAGTCTTGTGGTGATTGAAAAAAGAAAAAGTAAGAGCTCCTTTGCACCATAAAATGAAATAAATCGACTGTACAGCAACCATGTTTGCTAAAGTACTGAAGTACAATGGCATCTCTGAGTAAATGAGGGGCATCCTCACTAGTCCTAGTAATTACATCATCTACCATGGGTACCAGAGCTAAGCTATCAGAAAACACACATACATATTTCTGAACCACCAACAATTATCAGGGAAGCTATAGGAAAGACACATCCTTGATGCAGGTAAGAGAACTGGCTCCCACTTGACGCAGACATAGTGACTGAATGTTCCCAGGGAGAACCAGTGTTACCACCCATGACAAAGAGTGCAAGGACCTAACAGTGTAGCATCTCTGAACTTAAAAGATGGCTTAGATCTGGATACAATGATATATAAAAGCACAACCCATTAAACAGGCTTTTTTCTTCTTAAATAAAAGAAGAACTATAGTGGATTTCTCCCTTTCCCAACTATGAGACATCTGTTTTCATTTATAAAAATGCCAATGACTGGGTACCATTTTTCCAAACAATTAATTCAATGTCTACCAAAATCAAGTAGAATTTAAAAATGTATGAGATTTTGGTTGTACACATTAGGAATTCACCAAATTTCATAGTTTCCCCCTCTTTAAAAGGCTCAGAACTTCTGTGAATCTTGCTGGAAACGATTGAGTTTCTCTGGATTATTGGATGCCATTTGAGAAAAATCACGAAAAATGTCCTGGTAAGTTTCATCACCTGCATGAAAGTAAAACAAAGACACTTTTAAAATTTATATGGCTAAGGTATTAATAAAACATTCATTTTTATCATACTATTTTAGGATTCATTACATTACATTAAAGTTTTGTCCCAAGAGCATTTCTGGAAGGAAAAAGGCCAACAAAAATAATGGCAGAAAAGTATGTAAGAAAGGGAAATGATACCTGAAAGGAGCAGCTCAGATGCACCGCAGGGGGCTCAGAGTTAGAGAGGAGCAAGGACGCAAGCATTTGAAAGCAATGTGAAGAAACATTCATTAGCACAGCAAAGAAGAGAGGTTACTCCAGATGAAGCATACAGCACATTTTACAAGAAAATACTGTGTTGGATAAAAGTTAAAAGAAATGACCAAAGCCAATGCTAGTTAAGGCTCCGAGGGATGCAGTTACTAAGGAGACAAGCTGGTCAACAGCTGGGAAGAGCTTCCCACACCATCTTCAACTGGAAGTGCTTTACACTGACTAGCTGTTTGCAAAAAGGAGCCCACATACACTTTAAGTTTCAGAACCAATGTATCTCTCTAAACTCATTAAATCAAAAGGCCAAAAAGTGACTACAAAACCAGAGCTCCACAGTCAGAAGACTAACCAAAATGCTACACAAAATGGGAAAGGATACCAAGAATCTATTCACAATTGAAGAAATAAACATGTGCGTACACTCAACACTCTTACAGAGATGTAGATTATAGATAACGAGATTTCGGCATGGCATGATGGGTACAACTTTTTTTTAAACTGAGGAACTACACACACACACACACACATACACACACACACAAATTAATCGCTCAAAGGGAGAAATCTTATTTTCAGGATGACTTACTCATCATGATGCCTCCTACCAAACATTACGTTGGCACAGACCCCTGGCACAATTCTATTCTCACTTGAGCATACAATACTGTCGTATATTATTCTTGTCACCACACTGTTTCATCATTATTCCCTCTAAGATACTTTGCATCCCATCTAACAACAGTCTCACTCTTACAGTTACTGTTGATTGTACAGCAAACTTGGCAAGTCTTACAAAGCAAGATTGTAGAGGACACAAATGTCATACCAAAAGGAGAGAATTAGAAAAATACCAAGGGGGCAGGATAAAAATCTAGTAAAAAGACCTGAAATCATAACATAAGAATTTTAATAAAAAGATTTCAGTACTCTTAATATTTAGTGCTTTTAATATTCAGTCTATGTAAAAAGTAATTTATTAAAATCTGGGAAATTTAATCATGACATTAAATAATCAGTTAACCCTAACCAGGCTGACTGGAGGTTAGAGCTGACCCCACCATTCGGAGTGAAGCAAACTAAAGGCCAGTCTGCTGGAACTGGGTAGACTGCCCAGTTAGAGCATGGCAAACTACAGCCTACTCCTGCACTTGGCCATCCTACACGACATAAAGTAAACTGAGTGGAGCGCAACATTAAATAACAATTAACAAACCATACAAAATATTTTAATATTTTCCGTTTTTAGATGTTGAATTAAAATATGTAAAATATTTATTGTAAACATTATAAATATTTTTAAAATACTATTCAGATAGTCTAGAATTTTACTTTCCAAGAAAGTGTAAAGTGCAGATTATAATACAAAAATACCACATTGATTTTACCATTCAACACCAGAAATAACATAAAAGGCACACATTATATATTCAGGAAGAAACAGGAGAAGGGTCTAGCAGACGCTAATGCCAAGTCATTCACAGATAGCACCAGATGGGTGTTCTCAAGTATTACAGCAGTACAATGGCGGTATATGGCTTCTACATTCAGCAATGCATATTCCGTACAACGAGCTATTTTTCTTTATAGTTTTCTAGTGTTTGATTTTAAATCACCTGGTGCATATTACACAAGTACATTTTTAGTAAGACCATTGTACCATGCAAAACTAATTATAAGACCTTCCATTCACTGAATTAAACGTGTCCTTGAAGAAGAATGTTGGTGCTGTATTAGTCATTGGTTTCACCGACTGCAAACATTTAAGAGTCCATACAATGCAAAAGACAGGTTCTAGCCTCACACACAAAACTCATCAAGTTCAGGTTTTTAAAAAATTAATAATGCACTGTTATAATGCTACCTTCCTTAGACCTCAAAATGTGCTGTCAAAGCAACAATGACTTAAAATAGTCAACACAAAGAGAATTTCATTATCTAAACTTTAAGGAGAATTTTCATCAATTGAAAATTTTCCCAAAGTCAATCTAATTTGTCTGAACTAAAACACATAACAATGTGCCAGGACACATTATCCTGGAGTCTTCCTATTAATACACTGAACAGCTTACTACAAAAAAAAAAAAAAAAAACAGAGCTAAGCATTGTCTTTAAATTACTTAATCGTATTTTTCCCATTCACTGACAGTTTAAATTTCACTTGAGTTTTTGGTATCCAGAATATGCATGACAACAGCAGTTAGCGTGGCAGAATGCATCCAGTGACCTCACCATGGAAATGAATGCCCTGAAAGTATGTGGTACCCACCCTCTGGGACCATAGGCATTGATTAGCCTGCCCCTTCGAGGTGGGAACATTTTCCTTCTACAAATGACTGCATAGGTCCCAGGAGCCATGTGCTCACATGACCAGAAGAAGCTCCCTAAGGCAGTGAGCGATTGCCTACTGGCTGAGATGCTGCCAGCCCTCAGAAGACCCAGAGCCAGAAACGGGAGACACACAACTCATTTCCCACCATTGGGAGCAAGGTGTGCTATCACCCTCACCCAACAGCCTGCTAAGAGCTCTGAAAAGCTGCTAACGGAGAACCCACCTTCCTTCCTGAAGCTGAATGCTCTTAATGCTGCCTTGCAAGAGAAACATGGCATGTACTCTCTCATATATGGATTTTAGACATAGATCTGGGGAGTGCCAGTCTACAATCCTATGGCCAGAGAGTCTGGGAAACAGAAACTTCATTTGGTGGCTGATCGAAGAAGAGGCAGACTCCCTTGGTTAAGTACTGAGCTGAACTCAAGAAAGCCAGTAACAGAGAAGGAGGACTGATGACCAAAGGGATTAAGACTGGGCTGGTTTAACCCCCAGAAACAGCTGACCAGACAAAGGTTAACTCTTGAATCCCAGGCATCAGCCTGGGAACCCAGCATGGGACTGATCAAGACCCCCTGAATCTGGGTGTCAGTGAAGAGGCCTAGGGAATCTATTGAGCCTTGGGCAGCAGATCAGTACCCATCCCAAGTATACACAAGGACTTTGGACTCCCATAGAACAATGTGAGGTGCACTCTCACCCTGAACTCTTGGGGAAGGGTCTAGGCCCTGCCCTATATGAAATGACAGACTATGGACACCCCCATGGAGGGCCTCACCCTCCCTGGGGAAATGAGGGGAGGGGGGAGGTTGGTGGGAGGGCACGGGAGGAGGGGAGGGAAAGGGAGAGGGACCTGGAACTGACTTGCGAAGCAACCTTGTTTCTTATCTAAATTTAAACTGGAAAATAAAAAGAAAAAGGGGAGTCTGTGGGACTGCAGACACAAGTTTAGAAATTGGGTTTCCTAGAAGTAAGTCCATGATTGCCAAGCGTTTTAACTGGGTCCTTTGAATTATAGACCCATGACTAGCCAGACTGACAATTTCTGTACCAACAAACTGGTCAGAGTCCCGCTGCTTCCTCCCTATTCCTAGGACGCCAGTGAAGAGGTCCGGCAAAGTCTATAGGGAAACTGTAGTGAGGGGCAGAGGAGAAATGAAGAGCGGCCGTGGGACCAGCGCATCTGCTCTGCCAGGACTCAGAGGGACAAGAGGAGCAACAGAGAGCAGTGTGCACCTCGTCACACCTCACGGACAGTACTCACCCTCAATCTCTGGACCCTGACACTGAGTTTAAAATGGATTATTTGCAAGGTCTTACTCAAATAGTTTTTTAATCTTATTTTTAACCTGGCATTATTGGCAGAATTCTAGTTTCTAACTTCTAAATTAAAATTTTCAAATGGTCTTGTTAAAAGTCTTAAAGTCAAGCCTGTTTTCAGGTTTTCCTTAAAACTGAGAAAAACTTATTTTCCTATTGACACCTGGAAGTGTCCTGTATTTACACACAAACCTGCACACAGACAACAGAGAAAGAGGTGTCTGAGCACGCCTAATCACACAGGAGAAACAAACAATTTGGGTAGAACTAGAAGAAGAGCAAAATGGTAACTCCTGCCCTCGCAAACTCCCAACTGCAGAGCAAGCAGAGTGCTGACTGCTGACCTCTGACCTATGACCTATGACTCAGTCGGGGAGGACAGCATAGCGAGCACCTTTAGGAGGTACAGCTGGCTCAACATTTACCCTCACAATTTCAGGAAAACACAAATGTACCTTAACTTACAATCTTGTGGTTCACTGCTATCTCACAAATGTGAGCTCATTTTCTTTGATCAATTTTTATTTAAAGTGCTTAAACACAAAGGCCTCAGAAATGGCCTAGTAATACTATCATCTAAAGATATCTGTTACAAAATTAGAACTTATTTAAGATCTAATATTCAGCTTTGAAACAAATGGGTGAAATCCAGAGTCAGCACTGAGCCTCACCCATAATCAGCACACGGACGTCTCTGGACGTCCTGACTCAGTACGTGTGATCCATAGGATTAAAGTGACACCCCTAGATCAGAAGAATGCATCTGATCCAGGCCCTTTTCTTTCCCCAGTACATCAGGCCAAAGATAAGCAGTACATACATTCCTCTGAGAAAAAAATGGCCTCACACTGATATAGATTACTCTAGTCAAAACGAAGTAAATGGCTGAAGTTAACATACAGTATGGAAATTCAAAATAAAGTTCAACAGGAAGGAGAGATGACTTTACCAGGTCGCTTTAAAAATAATAACATAAATATTCATTTTTATAAAAGCAAATAGACTCATTTGCAAAGTGAATGTAAGTACTTTAGTCATGAATTCCTGAAATGTTTAGTAAAATGTGTATGAATTTGAAGCAGATTAGTAGTTTATATACTCAAATTCATGAACTGGAAAGCAATATCCGTTTTTGTGAAGCCGTCTAACCAGCATGTGGCCATCTGATAATTTTCCTTTCTTCTCTTCACACCATGACTCACAAGTGAAAATCACTCAAGATAAAGACGGACGTAGTCATGAACTGAGATTTTCCTAATAAGTCTACTTCACCATCAGGTTCACAAAACATGGTTCTAAATACATCTACTCACCCAAGAAAATAGTGTACAATTGCCTGGGGCAGAGCTACAGATACATTTCAGCCTTGGAAACTAATACTACACCCACTGTGGACTTTTAACTTACTGGTAAACTTTTACTTTAAATTTTCAACTCATTCTTAGATTAGAATATAAAACTCATCAATATACTTTTTCTTGGTATTTTTCACACTAACTTTTTATATACAAAACACATAGTGATTTTTTTCCCTGAACACAATGTATAGAAATTCCCTGAATAACAAAAAGAAAACTATTTTGCTATATTCACTGGACAGCTAACAAGAATTCTTTTTGAAGCCGGGCAGTTGGTAGCACACGCCATTAATCCCAGTACTCAGGAGGCAGAGACAGGCTGATCTCCGAGTTTGAGGCCAGCCTGGTCTACAGAGTGAGTTCCAGGACAGCCAGGGCTACACAGAAAAACCCTGTCTCAGAAAAACAAAGGACAACAACAAAAAAGGAATTCTCTTCGCAACTGCTCCTCTGCTGCCGCAGCACAGGGTCTGTTCATCAGTGCGCTCTTGTGGCTGGAATGCATATGGAAGACATCTGTACAGCAGATAAAGACCTCAGCAGCCGGAGCTGACTGAATACGTAAGAGAAGTGTACTGGAACGGAAACATGTCCGAGTCTGTAAAGGTCCAGGGTTAGCCCCACAAGAATTCAGTAGGTACAGTACAGCAGCTAAGAACTCACAATTTACAAGTATATAAAAGCTCTATAACATCACATTAGTTAGCTAAGGAACTATGAATCCTCCAATTGTAAACTGATAAATTCCTGAATGCATTTTTTATACTGCATTTCAGTATGATTATTAGTAGAATATTGACCTGGCTGTCCATAAAGTCCTTCTGATTCCCGCATTTCTTCATTCATTCTTGCTAAACGTAACCTAAAATTCAAGAAAAAGAGCTCTTAGAGGAAGTAAGACAAGTACTCATAAACAAATGGGTTACATAGGCAGGTAATGCATGTGCTGGTAAAATTATAGAATTATTCCCTTACCAGTATCTGTTCAGTAAAACAAACTCAGTTTATCAGACAATCTGCACTACAGAAATAACTCTCTCACCTCCATCATGTCATTCCCATGAGCAAAGACGTAAAGGATTTCTTACTAAAGTAGGTGCCTACAGCACCCCCAACGGCTTCCTCCAGCTTCAAAGAATGCCTAGCTCCTACAGCAACTGAATGAAATCACTGCTTCTGCAGTACGGAAACAATAGCCTGCCATAGTTCATTAGTTTACCTGAGTAACATAGTTTCTAACATGGAAGCAACATATTCCTTCTAAATAAAGGAAATATATTTTGTTATATAAGTACTGCAGTAAATGACTAAGGGTTACCAAAATTCTCCCAAGGTTACCATACTGGCCATACAGTCTTTGAAGTTACTTATTATGGCAATGGAAGACAGGTAACATTGGATTAAGAAAGCAAGTATTTCTTCTTTTTCTGAAAAAAAAAAAAACCAAGCAAGACTGAAAGTATTATCCGTGGTGCCTGCTGTCCTTCTAGACCACTACATCATCTGCAGCCTTCCCAGAGCTCCACCAGGCAGCGGCAGCATCCGACACTGACATTTCCCTTCTATTCCCCATCTTCCCTGTGAATCAAGGCTGGCTTCTAAGCATCCCCTTGCTGTGTGGATTCTCTGAGAGGGCACTCTCCTACTTGGATTCAGTTGTCAACTTGCTATTGAGTCATCTGAGGGTTGTCTGGATCAGACTGGCCTATGGGCATGTTTTCAGGGCATTTTTTTTTAATTGCTGATTGATGTACTTCACAGTAACAGTAACTCCTTCCTCCAGGGCCTGTGTCTTACTAGGTAAAGGCTGGGAGAGGTGGAACATGGCAAGCCAAAAATCCTCACTGGAATTCAGGGGCTCAAAGCCATCACTGAATTTCTCTGAACTGAGAGCATCATGAACAGGCAGGTTTCTACTCAGGAGGAGAGGGTTCACCCAACTCTCAGCTTCCATTAGCCCAGAATGGAATAATCACATGACTTAAAACCTGCTTCCATTAGCTTCATGAAATGAAGTAGAGTCAACAATATCACATTTCTAGGTTATAAGTGTAGCACACTACTATGATCTAACATGCAAACCAACTGAAAACCACAAGATTATTTAATATTAATAGATCACAGTAAACATATCTTAAACATTCAAAAACATATTTTGTTTTAAGAATAATCTATATGAACATTTATTTAAAAGATTGCTGCCCCTCCAGCTTGCTGAAATGCCTCTAATCCTCAAAGTAGTAGACTAAAACTACCCATTGCTCTGCCCACCCCAGTCAAAGGTTCAAACTGTACCAAAGGGGAGAGCATTTGGGGTAGCCATGGCTCCTGTTTCTACTGCTACAGCAGTACAGGTCAAGAATCCAGGCATTAGAGTAGAAATTCTTGGTGTGAAGTCCTAGCTCTAGCATTTATTAACTTTTCAAATTATCTGAGGCTTAGCTTCCTTACCTATAAAATGGTAATAATAAGAGTGTCCTCGTAGAGTTATTGTGAGGAACAAATGAACCTGTGCATTTTAAAATGCTTACCACATCCACTGTCCCTAAAGGAATGGTACAGACAAAACACTGAGTTTAAATCTCCCACAGAGCTTGGTCATGATGGCATACACCTTTAATCCCAGCACTTGGAAGGCAGAGAAAGTAAGACCTTTGTGAGTTCAAGGCCAGCCTGGCCTACATAGAGAGCTGCAGGACAACCAGAACTATTTATACAAACACCACACAGCACAGGAAATAAGTACAAAGGAGACACTTACAAGGTTACTATGTCAGCATTGGCTGCTTCCACAGCTATGCTCAAAGGGTCCTTCCCCTCTTCATCAGTGGCATGTTGATTGGCACCTCGCTTTAGGAATAAACATACCTGCCTGTTTAAGGGAACAGCATTTCTCAGACAGTGCCAAGACGAAAAACATTCATATTAACTTTCAAAAATAAAAAGTTCTTCCTAACTTAAATAGCATTAGAAAATTCTTAATGCATCCTACAAATTCAATGAATAGACTTCAATAATAGAAGCTGACTGAGATCTTTACAAGTATCAAATAATTTTCATTATCTTAGATAATCTGGTACTCTATAACAAAGTGGGACATAGAATCACAGCCTCTATCCTCAACAAATATCATTAAAAGTTATACAAAGATACTGACAACAGAAAATAATACCATGAAGCTAAGACAATGCAGACACCATACTAATGATGATATAATAGAAGAGAGTAGGCAGTAATCCTCCCATTATACTACACAAATATTCTTAACTTGAAGATATTCACATTTTAAAAAACACATGAAAGAATGAGCAAGTGGAGTCTGAGGAATAAATGAGAAAAACTATTACAATGTAGGCAAATAAAAAGATGAAGCAAATACTACTGTGTTTTAACATAGAAAAGCTTTCATTATTAAGTTACTCAACTGGATATCTGCTGATAAACAAGTGATAATGAAATAAAGGATGCCATTAAAAATGTTTAAAATCAGCTTCTTGTTTATCCAGAGATACTGGAAACTGTGAGATAAAATGACTCAAACTGTTTGAATAAAGCCACTTTCATGGCATTACTGTGCCAAGTACATGACTTAGAGCCTCAACATCAGTTACCCAAACAAAGAACTTAGTTATGGCTGGACTAAGTACCTTAAGGAAAGCCTATAAATTCCAAAATTATAAGTCCTCCCAGTGTATGCAGATAATGTATGTATACACTAGTATAAAAGAACATGAACTTCAGCTGGGAAACAAACAAAATACCACAACTTCAGTAACAGAGGACGCTAGGTAGTAAACTGGTCAATTACTGTCACACCAAGATTAAAGTGAGTATTATAGTTTGTGTCTGTACACTAGTTATACTGGTTAGTTTATATTTATACACTAGTTATAATGGTTAGTTTATATCTGTAACTAACTATGCTGTTACTGTACATCACTGGTTAGTTTATGTCTATACACTAATTATACTGGTTAGTTTATATCTGTACATCAGGTATACTGGTTAGTTTATATCTGTACATCAGGTATACTGGTTAGTTTATATCTGTCCACTAGTTATGTTGGTTAGTTTATATCTGTCCACTAGATATGCTGGTTAATTTATATCTGTCCACTAGCTATGCTGGTTAGTTTATATCTGTCCACTAGCTATGCTGGTTAGTTCATATCTATACACCAGTTATACTAGTTAGTTTGTATCTGTTCACTAGTTATACTGGTTAGTTTATATCTGAACACCAGGTATACCCGTTAGTTTATATCTTTCTACTAGCTATGCTGGTTAGATTATATCTGTTCACTAGCTATGTAGGTTAGTGTACAACTGTACACTAGTTATACTGGTTAGATTTTACGGTCAACAACACAAATTAGAGTCTCTTGGAAAGAGGGAAAAGTTGCCCCCATCAGATTGTCCTGTGGGCAAGTCTGTGGGGAACCTGCCTTGATTGTTTATTGATGTGGAAGGGTCCAGCCCACTGTGGATAATGCTATCCTAGGCACGTAGGCTGGGACTACATAAAAAAGCAAGCTGAGGGCTGAAGATATAGCCTGTCAATTAAGAACACACAGTGTTCTTGCACAGGACCTGAGTTCGATTCCCTGCACCCACAGTGGGCAGCTTACATCCACCTGTAACTCCAGTTCCAAGGGGACCTGATACCTTTGACACTGCACTCATGCATATCTTTAAAATAAAATTAAAAACAGAAAACAAAAAACAAAAAATCCCACAAGCTGAGCAAGCCAGTAAGCAGCGTTCTTCTGTGGTCTCTGCTTCAGCTCCTGCCCCCAGATTCAAGTTCCTTCCCTGATTTTGCTCAGTGATGAACTGTGACAAAGTATAAGCCACATAAACCGTTTCCTCAATGTTTATCCTAACAACAGAAAGCAAGCTATAACACTGATCATGACTTCTCTTCTGAATGAGAAACTTTAACTGTTGTCCTCTTTTATAAATTCTACATAATATCCTTAACCTGAGTGGGGGGGGGGGACACGCCACTATTTCAAAGTAATTCTTCAGATAAAAAGCTACCTATATATTTAAGCACGATTACTTACCCTGTGTGTCCTAGGACAGTGGCGTGGTGCAGTGGTCCCCGCCCTTGGACATCTCTTTGGTTCACATTAGCACCATTCTGTAAAAGGAACTCGCATGTCACCAAAGAGCCCTTAAAGAGAAGAAGATGACAATGTATACATGCAAATGAAAAGAAAACACATCTGTAAGTAAGTAGCAGAGAAATAAGTTATATGCTTTTTCTAAGAACTAATTAACACAGAATTTTACAGTCTGAAGTCCATCAAAACACATTACTCATGCTGTACCTCCTAAAAATCTGAAACAACTACATGATACTCAGAAATCACTACTCAGAGAATTTTTTTACTTTCTAACCCCTCTTAAGATAGTAACAATAATATTACTTTGTTTAGAATTTATAATATTTGATATTTTTTGCCAGGTCAATGAAAATCCTCAATGCATTAATTCACACCCCTGATATAGCCTAAATACATTAATTCACAACCCCTGGTACAGCCTGAATGCATTAATTCATACCTAGTACAGCCTGAACACATTCACATTCCTGATACAGTCTGAATGCATTAATTCATACCCTTGATATAGCCTAAATACATTAATTCACACCCCTAGAACAGCCTGAATGCATTAACTCACACCCATAGAACAGCCTGAATGTATTAATTCACACCCCTAGTGCAGCCTGAATGCATTAACTCATACGCCTGATACGGCTGGGATGTATTAATTCATACCCCTAGTACAGCCTGGATGAGTGCTGTTGCTTGGTTCTCATCTGAATTAGCCCAGTTCACATCTGCACCATGAGCCAAAGCCTCAGCCATTTTGGGAAGGTTTTTTTCATATGAAGCTCTATAAAGCTGAAGTCCTGGATTAAGATGTTTAGAGTCAAGAAACACAGAAGACTCTTGCCTTTCTCCTTCTGGAAAGCAAAGCACAAATACATTAATAAGAATGTGCTCTTAGCCTAGAAGGCAAATTGTTTAACAAGAACAGAAAGAATTTACAAGAAGAAACAGTTCCATTGGACGAATGACAGTAACAGCAAAGTGAAGATGAATTTAAAGCTAGTAAGCTGTAAATTTAAAAAACAGGATAGATTAACTTCAGGACCGACAAGTGGCTAGGATACCTTTATAGTATGTATATTTTACCTCAATTGTGAAAGTGAACTCTTAAACTCACAATGTAAACATTGTGACATAGAAATCATCCATCTATCCAATGAGCATGAGAGATTTTCACACAAATATTATTTCTTACAGATTATTCATTCCCCAAACATTCACCCTTCTCATAGAATGACATCAACTAGTACTGTAGGTTTTTATGGCCTTGCCAGTATCCAGGGGACACGTTAGTTACTGTTAAAATTGGCCATCTTCCAAAAAGCCTGAACTCCTAAAGAATTTACTAGTAGTTCGAACTCACTTAGTTCCTAGGATGATGTAATATCATCACAATTTATACAATAACTAATTCAAATGTCTTAAAGTATGCTTATTTCCCCCCAGAGAATTCTGCAAGACTGAACACACTGAAATCCTGGAAGGAAGCATAAAGGAATTAGTGATGAGAAGAAAAACCCAAAGGGGAGGGAGATGCTGGTAAAAACAGCCACAGGAGAAGACAGTGGCTAAGGAGAAAGCATTAGTGCAGATTAAAATTCCTAGCATACACCATGAGGTTTGGATGACTATCTAGCTAGGGGAAAGATTCCAAAATAAAGAGAAACAATAGTTTTCTCCTTAAACAATATTGCTTTCCCCTTAGTACCTTCTAAAAAGATTAACCACCCACTTGAGAAATGATCTAATCAAGAATTCCATTCAGAGCAGTAGAGAGATGGTCACTGGGTGAAATGTTTGCCAAACAAGCAAAAGGGCCTGAGTCCAGGTTCCCAGAGCAAGGAAAAGGCCAGTACAGAGACTGGTGCCTGCAACACCAGGGCTTGGGGGCAAAGACAGACAGATGCCCTGAGCTTGCTGCCAGTCACTCAGCTCAGGTTCAATGAGAGACCCTGTCTCAAAGACAAAAGTGGAAAACCAGATGAAACTAGAAAATATATTAAACAGGATAACCCAGACTTGGACGGGCAACTACCCCATGTTCTCGGCTATGTGGAAATCTTAGTTCCTAGTTGTTCATGGAAATATCTACATGAGAGAGAAAAGGCAGATGCCAGAAAAATCCAAGAGAGGTCTGGGACAAAGGAAAAAAAACCTCTCAGAAGAAAATTGCTCTGTAATAAAATGAAGGTAAATGTTATCTATATTCTATTTAAAGTCTAAAGTCACGATTGATCAGATTTGAAACTGAACATTTACGAGAAATTTTATTAAATTTTTATTTGGGGGGTGTATTGGTGTGAGTGTGGAGGTCATTACATTTGGGAGATAACTTTTGGGAGTCAGCTCTCTCCTTCCACCAAGTGGGTCTCTGGCTTGAACTCAGGTTGAAAGGACTGGCAGCAGGTGCCAGTACATTTTTATGGATTTGAGAAATTTGTAATCCCTGCTGTAAATTTTAATTGCAAATACATTGTCTCTTATAATCAGTAATGCTGCAGAAAATGTGGTATTCTGGGTCTTAACATGTCTACACATTTAACTACTTCCATTAAGTTTCGCTCTTGTTTTTAATTTTAAGCTTTATTTTATTTACTATCTATACACTATGCTGCCTGCACACCAGAAGAGGGCATCAGATCTCAATATGAGTCACCTTGTAGTTGCTGGGAATTGAACTCAGTACCTCTGGGAGAGCTGTCAATGCTCTTAACCTCTGAGCCATTTCTCTAGCCCTGAGTTTCATTCTTATGCTGCTCCTAATGTTATTAATACTTAAAATTCTCATTAAGTGAATTTAAATCTTCTTGTAAAAGTTTTGGAAAACACCATAAAAATACAAAAGAAATGAGCAATTGATAATAACAGTGGCATAATTATTTTTGGAATAAGTATGCCAAAAAAAAAAAAAACAAAAAGATTGCACACTGCATGATCCATTTCTCTAAACTAGAAATGTGCCACTTACTGCTATCGTGAGAGGAAGCAGAATGGTGTTTAGCTACTAAGATTTTAAAGGGACAGAAGAGACCTGTTACAGAGGCAAAGAAATGGAAACATCAATGTTCCATGGGCACACAACAGGTGCACACGCATCGCATTCTAATACATCAATTATACTTCCTCCCAGCCCCAACAGGAAGATGAAGAGCAACCAGGGAAGACACCAGACATCAACCTCTGGCCCTCGTGTGAGCGCAGACATGCAAACACACCCACAAGAGAACTGATGTTTGCTACAACCATCATCCAACAAACTATGTCAGTCAACACTGACTTTCACCAAACTCACCAGGCTCATATAAGCTATTGGCTGACACGGTGGAAGATAAAGATTCTCGCCCATCATCAGAGCCTTGCTGGATCCCACTGTCATTACTTTTAACTGTGTTAAGGGGGGGAAAAACAGCTAGTGATTAAAGTTCACATCACTTAGAAGGCAGTCTCCCACAACCAACAAGACCATAAAATGAGCTGGTACATGGAAACATGAACTTGGCCACCATCAGCATAATAAACTTACTACAATTTTAATCCTTCTGTAACTTAGCTTATTGGAACACGAATCAATCACAACACCTGAAAATAAACTTATTCTCCAGAGTTCTAACACATCTCATGACTCCACAAATGCTGGGAGTAGCAAAGAGCTTAATTTACTGACTGTCTGGCTGTGGTGATATGTAATCCGGAGACAATGGGCAACATCTAGAGAAATGGCCACACCGCACAATGACCACTGGCACAGACTTGGAACGCTCCACAAGAGTACTTACTACTACGCAGTTTTGAAGAAGTATCAAAGTAGGAGAAGAGTGAGTCTAGCTCATCAGGACAGAACAGAGACTCCCGCCTGGCCTCGTCGCTATTTACAGCAGCCACTGGGGACATGCAAGTTAGCAAAGCACAAAGCAGGCCGTAAGAAGGGGGCAGGAAAAACCGTTACTGGGGAAGTGTAGGGAGGACACAGGAAGGAAATCAGGTGGTTAATCAGATAGTTGGGGCTTTCAGCGCAATCGACTGACAATCCCATCTCCCCGTGCTATTAAGCAGTTGTACTTAACTTTAACTGTCTTAAAGACACAGAAATCCAGTTTTCCTTTAGAATGTGTAGAAGGAAACAGGCTTCTAGCATTAAAAAAAAAATCCTACAATGGCGATAATTGAGATTGAAAAGTGGCTTCAGCTCAGGAAAACATCCAGGTAAATACCTGTGGTGTGGACAGGCACCCTGACTTGGCTCAGCCTCCGCTCTTCACAGCTTCTGGAGCTAACCCTTGCCTCCCGCTCAGAAGGTGGTGATAGCACGGAGTATTTATCCACAAATCTCCTCTCCACATATTTTGCTCTGATATATGCCTCTTTCTCCTGTCTGGTAAACAGAGAAACACCATGATGTTCTATTTAGCTCCATAGCATGGCTAACACTGAATGAATGACAATGGATACTGAACTTAACAGTAACTGAAAGTAAAACGGGCTGGGGCTGGGAACGCTAGAGAACGGGCTGGCAGTTAAGACTGCTCGTTGCTCCGGAGGACCTGAGTTTGGCTCTCACTCACAAACCACCTGTAAATACAGCTCCTTGGAATCTGACTCCATCTTCTAAAATGCTTTTCAGTGAATCTGTAACAGTTGACATATGGCATTATATGACATGTTTTCCTTGTAAACAACAAGCTAATGTCAGTCAAATGAAATACAAATGATCCACTGAAAACTCATAGTTCCACAGCACTCCACGAGTCTCTTAATTTCTGTCTGTGTGTATTTGTATACAGACTCCCTTGTGTTTTATATTAGGAACATTGCTAGGAAAGCTAAAAAAATATGGAGAATTAACATTAATTCCATTTTTACTAGAGATATTGTCATATCCTGAATAATCACTACTGGCAGTCATAATTTTTCATATAACAAAACAATACAGCATTCCAGATTTATAGTGGTAAAATGTCATTTCTTTCCTTAGCTTATGATATAACCATGAAATATGCCTGTTCTATAATTTTTCTTCTTTAATTTAAAAAGGATTATTAGTTCTTTGGTTAAAATAGGAGCACCCCAGGTCCAATAACAATCATATGGCAAGTATTAAAAGTGATTTAAATTACATTGGCTTAGTTCAAATCCCAACATAGGGTTTATGGAAAATGCAACTGTAATTCTAAAAATAAAGAATCCTACTGATAAAACCTGGTGTCAACAATAAAGACTACATGCTCCAAAAGCCCTGATTCGAGCAGCTTCCTTGAGCAGGTGTCCTTGTGCAGAGCTAGACGTCTGACTTCACAACCAAACTGCCTTTCTCATTTTTTACTCCACAGCCTCACAATGCCACCCAAGGGTGTGATCAACACTTGCTGAACTAAGTCAGATCACGCAAAAATGATTCTGATAGTAGAAACTTGATCTTTGAGACTTCAGTCACTCTCTACCTTATTTTTTGAGACAGTCTTTTACTGAACCTGGAATTTACTAGTCCATTGAGATTTGCTGGCCAGCAAGCCCAAGAGACCCCCAAACTCACCCCATCTCTGCCTCCCCAGCACTGAGATTCCAAGCAAGCACTGCCATGCCCTGCTTTGACCACAGATGCTAAGAAACCAAACTAATGCTTGAGACTTAGCCATGCTTCCTTTTAAATGCCCACCACTAACAGAACTTTAGACCACTTTTATGGCAAAAGACCTTTACATTTCTATGTTGTTTTATTTTGTTTTTGTGTTTTTACAATTTCTTGTATCTAAAGACTACAAATAATTGACTGCCCAGTGAGGCAGTACACCTACAATACGTCATATAGGTCTAATGAATATACGGAAGAAAGACATGGTCACATTTAAACAGGAGTAATAATGGTGACTTCTACACACGCCATCACAATGTTTTATGTCAACTGTGAAAGAATAAAGTCATACTGTATTTCTGATTCGGGAGGAGAGTATCACATTAAGACAACAGTACCTTTGTCCTGGCTGTGGTTTCTTTATTCCCATTTTTTCCAGTTTAGCTTCATAAACACGGTTTATAACATCATTGCCCAATTCACACATAAGCTATTTGGCAGGAAAGCAAAAAAGCAAGCTATAAATCAAAAGTCCTAAAATTAAGCTGAACTCTAAAAGTCCTTACAGTGGGTACAATTAACTAATTCCTCTTTATATATTGTTTAACTGTTCATTTTACAAACAAACTTTAAAGTTAAAAATGGGCCAAGAAATAAGATTATTACCCATTTGTTATTCTTTATCAGAAAATTATGAATCCTATAACCGGTACCTAACAGAAATCATCTATCCATTCAACCACCCATCCATCCATCCACTGATCCATCCATATATACACACACACATCCATCCATCCATCCATCCATCCATCCATCCATCCATCCCATATATACTATATTGAAAACCAGGACTGGACAGATGACTCAGTGGTTCAAGGCTTGCACTGCTCTTGCACTGGACCCAAGCTCAGGTCTCAGAACTCACATTGGCTGCAAGGCCCTGAGACTTCTGCCCTCTGCAGGCAACTGCACTTAGTGTACACACCCACACACAGGCTCAGACACATACATACACATAATTAAAAATAATAACAATAAATGTCTAAATGAAAGTCATATCCATCACATGTCTGTCTATATATCACGACTACTGACTGTGCCTAGGCCCACAGTTGGGCAAGAAGTTTGACAATAAAGCATCAGTGCAGTTAGGTATAGCAAGCACTGGCCAACTCAAGGACAGAACATTAAAATTAGACCTCTTTATAAAAATGACCCTCGCTCCCACTTTATAGAAATAGTAAAATCCATCAAACACAGCGCTCACTGCAGTCATTTAAGGACTCACCCAGTGCCTGAGCTCTACCTACTACCAGACACATACTAACTCCTCGTCCAACGCTGCCAAATTTTTTAGACTTTCTTTCTCCTGGTTCATCTACTTCTCTACTTCAGTCTTCAACTTTCCCACTGTGCTAGTTCATCTCAGCTAGAGGAGATCTACAGTCGCTGTGAAATATCCCATGTAAATGTTGATCTCACCTTTAAAAGCTCAGGCTCCCAAGTGTCTAAGGTTAAAGATCGTACTTTCGAAAAATGAACCCCAAGACTCCTACATGGGGAAAAAAGATCGAATTATTTTTAATAAAAGTTATCAAGTCACTACTTGCATACACACACACACACACACACACACACACACACACACACACACACACAGGCCCCCACATGTAAATATATATGGGTCCTCTGGTTAATAATGAATGATGAACCGAAGTCCTCAAAACACTTTACAAATTAAAATTATCCACTCTATAAAATGTACAATTATAAACTATAGTTAAATCGGGGAACTAGGAAAGATCCACTAACAAGAAAACATAGTAATTTACAACAAAGGAACTCTCTCACTCTGGGTGAGCATACCTACCGATGAATGCCAGAGCACTCAATACACAAGGTAATGCCCAAGTTGATGCTGGCCCACCGAGGGTCTGCCAGACCACAGTCACAGCAGCTGCTGTTGCCAGGGATACACTGGACGCGCTGCAGTGCACTTTCTCCTTTCAATAACTTCTCTTTTGACTCATTTCCAGAATCTAGGCTTCCTGTTGATGGAGATGATTTCTTATCCAACTTCTAGAAGAATTAAGATTTGGTAATTTTAATGCTTTTTGTAAAGAACTGTAAGAACATGCTACATATGATATACTATAAACAAATTCTTCTAGCCCATAAATTAAACATCTGTTTGGATAGGCATTATTCTAGGCACTCGAGGCTGAAGAATGGAAAGACTGGGGTTCTTATGAATAGGCTTCACCAATGCAGGAGAAATGCACACATTTACAATTATGTGATTACTGACACTGAACATATGAACAACAGATGAGGACAGAGAGAAAGGCAAAGACAGAGTGGGAGACATAATATTATTAAGACTCATTATAAGACAAAATCCAACACTTGGGAGGTTGAGGCAAGAGTATCACAAGCTCAGAGACAGCCTGGGCTACACAGGAAGGCCCTCTTGAAAGAAGAAAATAAAAAGAATAAAGTATTTTACACCAATTCCCCAAAGGAGTTAATTTTATTACTAAGTTAATAACTAGAAAGACTATGCTATTGACACAGTGAAATGCTAGAAAATATATCATCTTCATAGTGAACTAAAACCAAAACATGATATGCAAAAAGCTAATTTTTTAAGTGCACAATCACACCAGTAATAGAGTAATAACCATTGGGCTACACGTAGCAATAATCAACCAAATTCAAAGATTTTAAGCAATTAAAAACATAGCCTAAAGTCTTCCATGATCAAAAACCACTCAACCATGTATAAGCCAGTGTGTTAGCCCAAAGCACTGGAAACAGAATCTGATTCTTGTTTGTCTTTACTGAAAACACACAGAATTAGGAAGGGCTCGACAAACAAGGCAAGCACAGGGACTCGGAATTCCCGGTGTCTTCAGAAAAATAGGGCCAGTATCCACTTAAAGAGTGCAGCCTAGATTTCCAGGTCCTACAAAGGGGCAAAAGGATGCCTACATGTGACAGACATGAGTCAATTTAAGACTCACAAACAAATAATGGAAGTAATTGATTATGACAAATTGAATAAAATAAAAGCACACAGAAACAGTTAAATTTTGTCATAAAAGTAAAATTCAACTGAGCAAGGAACAGAATATTTTCACAGTTTTAAAGTACTTCCCCACAAAAATACTTACTACCCAAAGTTTATAAGAATACCTTACACTGGGAAAATGGAGCAGGTAAAACCATGTGCCTCCTGAAAGGATGACCTGAGAACACAGTATTTACACACAATGTTCTTGCTAAATATGTAAGACCCAGGTGAGTAGCTAGTCTGTAATTTTCAAAGCTCCTAAGGTCAAAGGTCAGGTACCCTTGACTGAGGTTACCTGACTGAGGTCAACATGACAACTAACTTTATCATCTTGCTTTTTACACATGAATGCATTTGGGGGTTAAATGGTGGTCATATGTCAAGGCTCATACTCCACTTCGATGCAAGAGATCTCCTCCTAGGGGGGGAAGGGCTCAGGATGAGGTGGCCTGCTAGCAACTCACTCAAGGGGAAGAACTTATCCGTACTGAAATTCTATGGACATTGGAGATGTCACAATTTTTAAAAATAGGTTTGGCTTATCAGAATATATCTGAAATGTAAAGTTACAAGGTTATCAGTATTTAAGGCAGAAATCATGTTGGCTCATTCCCAGTTTTCCTTGATATGCTAATGTTTTTCTCCCAATAAGAGATGTTGAGAGCTAATGAAGGCTTGATTGGTCAGGAAGCAGTTATATCCCAGGGTTCTCTCCCCAACCCCAGGCCAGTAAGGGACTTCTCTGCACGTAAGTGAAAATGAATGGAGTAAATCAGAGTCTTTGGATGGGGTTTGGCTGAGAGATCAAAGGCAGGAGACCCAGTGAAGGTGCACACAGTGAGTGCTGAGACCCCGGGCGATTCCTTATGCCTGTGGGCGAGATCAGTGACGTTTCCCTAGGAAAAAGATCCTGGCTATGGCTGTTACTCAACATAGTCCAAACTAACGAGAACCGTATGTTCAACAAAATCTTAACTAAGTGTTCAGTGCATAGCCTTAACTCAAAATCACTGATACATTACAAGAGCCAAGAAAAACCTCCAAACCAGTTCTTAATCTAGGTGTATACAGGATTATCTAAGGGAATTTTTTTTGACTCAGGATACTTCCCTAAGAGTTATTGATCAGGAAGACCCAGAGGCACCCCAAATATCACAGGCTGTGGCCACTGCTCTTGTTTGCCCACAGTAACTAGATGGCAAGATCCTATTGCTAAAGACACCACTCACTTTGGACACGGGACACAGAGAGATCAAGCTCAAACTAACTAGGAAACTCTCTCCTTGCTGGCTGCCTTACACAGTGCCAGAAGCTGCTTGGGAGAGAAGAGACATCAATAGTCTTACCCAGCACTGTAACAATACTAACTGGCTAGAAAGATGCTCCCACTGGTACAATAATGGCATAATGGTTACAGATCAACCAACTGCTTTCTGTGTGAATCTCAACTCTGCTTCACAAAAGGGACTTCATGCCTGGTACTGTACACCTGATTAAAAGCCTATGACTGTGGAGATCATAGGCCATAGGGGGAACCAACCCTTACTGTTCTGCTACACAGTCATACTGTCAAACTGTACTCTTAATGTTTTGGTGCTACTCTCAATTCGGTAGATAAGTGTCTTTTTGCAGTGAGTAGTGGCTAACGCAGGGACTCATAACTGCTCAAAGTGCTGGAAATAAGTAACTCTGAGTGCTCAGCTGTTTCAACCAGAGAAGAAGAGAAAGCAGAGACCATCTAAGAGCTGGCAGACAGGGGGGAGAGCTGTGAAGTGCGAGTATTTGGACATGGCATGGTTGCTGACCGCATCAACTCATGGCAACTGTGGTTACCTGCAGAAGACCTGTACAACATCAAGCCAATCAAAATTCCCACTCGAATGATGGAAGAGACCACAAGGCCCCACTCCTACCAGGAGAGACTGGCAGTTGATGGCTGCAGAGGGAAGGAGAACCACTCCTTGGGGATGTACCTCAGGAGTTAGCAGCACACCCATGTACACATGGGCAGCACTGATGAGCTCAGAGGATTGTTAACAACAAAGATACAAAGAGGAAAGAAAGACAAGTGGAGGTCTAGTGGGTGGATATGATCAACATATACTGTAATAATGTAGAAATTTCTAAAGAATAAAAAAGATTATGAAAAAGCAATAAAAATATTGATGCCTGGTTTTCAACACAATTTAATTGTTTAGGGGTGTGACTTAGACAATGAGAATTTTTTCAAGAAGTGAAAGTTAATAATGATAGTTCTAATGTTGTGTTGTGACAAAATAACAGATTCAATAAACATTCAGTGAACAAAAAAATGAATTACTGAAAACTAGATAGATGCTAACTGGCTAGCAATACTCAAAAAAAAAAAAAAAGAAAAGAAAAGAACATTAATTCAGAAGTTCCAGAAAGAGAGAATTGCAGAGAAGAAATAGGAAAGGTCAGTAATTAAAAAAGAAAAGAAAGAAACCCTAAAATTAAAACACAAGAACAGAAGAAACAACTTAATGCTATTTCTTTTCTTCCAACATACCCCCAAGGCCAGGTTTCTATATATAACAGCCCTGGTTGTCCTGGAACACATTCTGTAGACCAGGCTGGCCTCAAACTCACAAGAGATCCGCCTGTCTCTGCCTCCCAAGTGCTGGGATCAAAGGCGTGTGTCACCACCACCCCCACCATAATGTTGTTTCTTAAGGATAACTGTTTCCAACCTACAACTTCTATACCTAACCAAACTATCAAACAAAAGGAACAACAAAATAAACCACTGTTATCTGCTTTGGTAGTATAGTGGTGAGCACAGCTCCCATCCAAAATAAACTACTGTTCATGAGAACACAGAATCACAAATGCCTCACTTTCTGGGAAATACTGAAGGAAGTCCTCAAGCTCTTAATTCAATAAGGAGAAATACATGTGTCAATAGAAAGACAATATTAAAATATGACTCTGTTAAGACAATCCCAGGTTAATAACTATACTACACTGAACGTTTAAGGGTGACTGACCCAGAATGGAGAGTGATTCAGGTAACACACAATATTCAGGGCTCTATTCAGCAGCATGCCCTTTGCCAATGTTCTCATCATCTGTATTCAACAACGTCCAGGTAAATGACATACTGAAGAAATCCCTTCTCTGAGACTAACTGCTTAGGACAAGAAGTTCCCCCAGTTCCTGCTTAGGAAGCTTCTAATCTTATCTACTCCTGGGAGTCCCAGGTTGCCCATGATAACCTCTCAAATACAACTTAGAAAGCATTCCTACTAGCAATCTATCACTGAGGCTATGCCTCAGCCCACATCTAAAAACCCAAGAACAGTTTCATTTCTCAAGGGTTCATTCATGGTCTGTCCAAAGAATTTGTTGATTCATTGGGAAGCTCTCCACTAAGAGACAACATGGCTTTTCTTCTTTGCATTTTACTTTGTGTTAATTTCAAACTATATAAAATTGCAAACTCACAAAATTTTATTATTAATGAAAAGTAGCAAAATATTTAGGAAAACCCCATTAACATGGGAACACTATTTCAATCTGGGATATACATTCAAATATTAAGGTAAAGATAAGTTTGAATACTGAATGAAAAGAATGGGTAAGGGCTCAGTCAGAAGAGTGCTTGCATAGCATGCACAGAGCTCTGAGCTTGATGCCAAGTGCGGTCTAAACTCAGGTGTGGCGGTGAACGCCTGTAACCCCAGCTCTCGGGAGGGAGAAGCAGGAGGATCACAAGTTCAAGGTCACTGTCAGCTACATAGTGAGTCCTAAGCCAACCTGGGCTACATGATCCAACAAGAAAGGAGGAATAAAAGACAGGCTATAAAAGGAGGGGGGGGGTAAGGAAGGAAGGGAGGGAGGGAAGAAGAATGCATAAAAAAGTAAACAAATCTACAATCTTAAAACATCTCAATTACATAAAATCATGTTCCATAAAAAGGATGACATAGCCACATGTTACAGGTGAAATTTAAACATTTAGAGCATATTCCAAGATATTGACAACGCCTCTACCAACCTCTGACTCATCACCCTTCTCTCTGTAAGCAGTGGCAATGCTGGTCTGCACAGCCTTAATCCAGGCCTGGCGAAGCTTTTCAGAATCTGCCTGGAGCATACAACTTCTACAAGGAAATAGCATCATTTTGTCAGACAACAAATCAGAAGGGGAAAAAAACCACACAGTTTACTTTTCCTCAGTATGCTATCCAGTTCATTTTTAAAAATCGCATGTGTGTTAGTGTTCTGCCTGAATATTAAGTCTGTGTAGAGCGCATGCGTGCGTGCGTGCGTGCGTGCGTGCGTGCGTGCGTGCGTGCGTGTGTGTGTGTGTGTGTGTGTGTGTGTGTGTGTGATGTCCCCGAAGGTCAGGAAAGGACATGAAACCCCTAGCCTGAAGTCATGGCCAGCTGTGAGTCATCAATGTGTGTTATGGAAAGTGAACCCTAGTCCTTTGGAAGAGCAACCCATGCTCTTAACCAATGAGCCACCTCTCTAATTTTATTTGAAAGAAGGTGTCAACATTCATCCATCTGTAGGGCAAAGTATGATTGTGACAAAATCAAGGTACAAATGAAACAAAATTATCATTTAAAAACAAAGGACCTATCCCAATGTTAATTAGCCAAATACAGTGTACACACCTGTAATCCCACCTCTCGAGGCTGGGAATGTTGAGTCCCAGGCCTGCCTGAGTTACTATAGAGCAAGTATGAGGTCAGACCAGATTACATAAGGAAATCCTCTTAGAGAGGGAAAAGTGTGTGTGTGTGTGTGTGTGTGTGTGCGCGCACGCGCGTTCTCATATCCTTTCTCCCTCCATTCCTCCCCACCGTGTAAACAGAACATTACAAATTTCATCTGTCATGCACCTTCAATTCAACATAATATCTAAAAAACTTTCACATGGACTAGGTTTGGTGCCACAGATTTGTAATCCCAGCTACTCAAGAGGTTGAGATAGGAGAATGCCAAGTTCAAGGACCTGAGTTCAATTCTCACTATCACCAAGATACAAACAAAAAAGTCTACCAGGTTTTCATGTAAATGTTTACATAAGGGGCACATAAATAAGTTTATAGGAAGGACAGAGCTCAGTAGTAAATGCTTGCCTAACATGTTTATAGCCCCCACTAAGTAAATAACTAAGCAATTTCTACAGATTTTAAAGAATATGACACATGTAGAGAAGTTACATAAATACTTGGATATAACATCTGTAGTTGCTATGGAATTCATTTTCAAACATTAACTCTTCTGCTACACTGATAATCGTAAGTCAGAGTTCTCAGGTCTGGAAAGATCTTTGGTACAAACCACAGAAACACGAAAGCATCTTACTTGGTTGGAGAGACGACCTCAAAGCAGAAGCGGCGCTCCACGTCTTCGCAGTGCTTCACCGTGCAGAGTCTGAGGTCCTCCACCACCACAGTCGGGCTGTCCTGCAGCAAGGAGGCAAGCTCAGGGTTAGCAGGCCAGCTCCCAGCACTGCCAGCAACAGTACCCCCAAACACACTCCTAACAACGTCTGCGTGTAGGTCTCTATATTCTCATACTGTTGCTATAGGTAGAAGCTATGAAGGCACAGAACTAAAGGAGGCGGTTCCATATTGTTCATTTAATGTGCCTCATCAAACAACTGTATGTAAATTAAATGCAATCACTTAGAGAAAGGATTGACCCACAATTGGCCAACAAGTAAAAAATATTATCTCCTTGTTGATCCTCCTCCATCCCACTGACACCCATTATTCTTTAGGGTCCCACTCACATACAGAAAAGCTACTTTCTCCCCAGAGAGAAGACTTTAATGTTTTAAATAGCCCAACAAGAAACAAGAAGTTGGTGCGTTCTTCTTGAAATTCTTACAAGAAAGAGAAAAGATTTTACCACTCCCTAATTAAAATACTTGTGCAAAACCCAGAAGAAAGCACCAATGGGTCAGCTACAAAGTTCACATGAACCTGTAATTAGTGGCCATCTCACAGGCCAACTGGGCATCAGATGGTCATGGTTCACAGACTATCACTCAAAGGCAAAATGGAAAGCACACACTATCAATTAATGAATGATTCTCTTTCCAGTGTCTAGCATTCTCACAAACCATCCCAGCACACCTTTCCAATACATAAAACTCCTCACCTTGAAATGAGGCCAAGAAAACAAACATATAAACACATCAGTAACAAAGTATGGGGTTCCTATCTACATTATTAAGTGTACGTTTTGAGTTCTATCATTTTAAAGCATTCTATACTATCACCATTGGTCCTAAGATAATGTGTTCTAAAAGATAAACTGTCTGCAGCCTCAAAATATTACTACTATGGGATGTGAGAGTTACTCCTGTCATGTAACTAACAAAAGGACTTAATAAAATGAAGGTAATAATCTTGATACACAAAACATCTTAAAGCTAGGAATTATAATTTTAGAATTGGAGCTGGAGAGACAGCATAGTAGTTAAGAGTGTATACTGCTCTGACAGAGGACAGGATTAGGGTCAGGCAGCTCACAGAAGGGTTTGATGCCCCCTTCTGACCTCCCCAGGCACTGCACTCAAGTGTACAAATCCACACTAAAGACATACATATACACAAATAAAATCCTTATTTTAAAAAAGAGGGGGGTAGAAAGATGTCTCAGCAGTTGGGAGCACTGGCTGCTCTCCCAGAGGACCCAGGTTCTATTCCCAGCATCTGTAACTCCAGTTCCAAGGGATTTGATGTCCTTTTCTGGTTTTTGTGGATATTGTATACATGGTACAGAGACATACATACAGGCAAAATACCCATACACATTCAAAGGATCACAAAGAAAAAGCTGTTTGAAAAAGAAGACTTCATAATTGGAGGACTAAAGAAATGGCTCAGCGGTTAAGGGTCCTCACTGCACACAGAAGACCAGAATTGGGGTTACAGTACCCACAACAGCGCCCATGACCACCTGGAACTCCCTCTCCTGGGGGATCAAACACCAGTGGTCTCTGTGAGTACCTGCACTCACATGTACAAAGGCGCATACATTCTCATAATTAAAGATAGTAAAAACAATGCAGGGCACAGTGGTGCACGCCTTTAATCCCAGCACTCAGGAGGCAGAGGCTGCCAGATCTCTGTTGGTTGGGGGCTAGCCTGGGATACAGAGCGTGTTCTAGGCCTGCCAAGACTGCATAGGGAGTCCATGCCTTAAGATAATAATCTGATGCCTCTGGAAGTTTTGCAGTCACATGCACGAACGTGCACTCAGACACACATGTACACACAAATGAAAATAAATCTTTTCTCAAAAACAATTCAGAATCAAATCACTCAGCTTTTAAAGGTTTAGGATTAACAGCTTCCACTCCACCTGTGCATATACAAACATAAAACCAATAAGCAGTAACTAAAAATTTTGCATATGGATACTGATGAACTTTGGTGTTCACCAAGACAAAGAAACAAAGTGCTAAAACCGGAACTCCCCAGTTTTCACTGTGTTGCTTAACAATTCACGTACCTTGAACTTTTTCTGGTAAACCAACTGATTGTTCTGTATGGAGAACCAGCGTCTAGATAAAGACAGACAGATTAAAGATGGCGCACATAGGGTCCTTCTATGGGCGGGAAGTGAAACTAGACACCCATGTCGGGTGACGGTGTTTGGAGAAGTGCACTGCTTTGTTTTCATAAACTGAGGCGTGTGAGGTAACTACTGAAAACTAAGAATAATCTTAAAAATCACAAGTTAGGGAGATAAATTAGTTATGTTTTGATTTATTTTATGTCATAACTTTATATCTTAACAAAAGCTTTTATTTTTTCCTGCTAAGGCCATAACTATTTTAAAAGTACAAACTTACAGGGGTTGGGTTTTTTTTTTTGAGTGCTAAAATAATATTTTCCCTCAAATCTCTACTTTTATAATAAAGAAAATGTAAACTACAAATAAAACGTCCATTTATATTAAGATAAATGGTGCTTTATTTACAACCTTTAATTCAGAAAATGTTTGATCTGACCAGCAAAACAGACTAATCACTTAGAACTGTATCAAACTTTATCATAAACTTTATCAAAAGCTTTATCTCATATAAGTAAGAATTCTTACTTCTCAGGCAAATAACGTGTTACCATATATGACCACCCCCATCCCACCAACTGTTTAAATGGCTCTCCTCATCACTGTTAAGCTATTAGGAAAACAATTTGCTCACAATCTTCTTTAGAAAACTGGCTAGGCAATGCAAGCCATATGCACTAATTCCAATTTATTAAAATAATAAAAAGAACTAAAGACATACAAAAAAAATCACAGCCAAAAGCCATTCATAAAGAAAGCAAGACTTCTCACAGGCAGGAAAAGTGAACAGTACTTGAGTTATTTTTAAATTAGTTTTATATGAGATGATTTTTAATATAAACATTAGTTATTAATCTATTAGCAGATAGAGATTCTACCTTTTCATTGACAGTAATAAAAATTACTAGAAATTATATTTAGGTGTTTTGAATTTCTATTTTCAAATTTTTAGTTATTTCTCCAAAGCTGAGAAAGAGCCCCGAAGACACTTTGGGGGTTTTAGGCCTCTTACTGGGTGGGTGGGTTTTCTTGCCACTTAGAAGTGTATCGCCTTTTTCATTGAGAGAGTTTGTTAAGTAAGCATCTAAATAAAATAAAGTGGTGTGCCGCTGAGTGCCAATCAACAGACCAGAAAAGGAAGAACTTCCGAGGCTCTGGTTTGGGGACAGGCAGCCGGTTAGAAATGTTAGAGGAAAGTCCTACACACAACCAAGTGGTGCATCCTGCCACATGGGATGACATGCAATGGAGACAATCTCTGAATGTGATTAAACATCATTTGTAAAATTCATTTGAGGAGGGTGAACTATAGCAATAAAAATGTATAGGCTGTATATCATAGTGGTTACCTTACATAGTTTGAGAAAAACAGTTCTACTAAATAATGGGAAGACATCTATACTAAAAGTGCAAACTTGTCATGCTTCTGAGTCCTCATAAGTTATTTTTTTCTTTCGACCTGGCCCATCTTAGAGCAGTGCTCTCTAGAAATACTACTACTAATAATATACTAGATAAATGCTGCTGTCAGATTGGAGACTATTCCCCTCAGTTATTAACCTTATGGAGCATATGTATTTCTGAAGTTCAGGTTCTCCAATATTTATCTGCTTCTAGGTGGCATTCTTACATCATCAGGTTTATAAAACACTTAGAAAAGACAATACAAACTTCTCTTCCTTTGCTACTTGCTTAAAGGAAGCATGATACATCATAAGTAGAGGAAATGGAATTTCAAAGATGTGTTTGTCTGACACAATCTTCCTTCCACTACCATTAGAAACACACATCTAACACCAACCAGAACCTCAACTAGGTACCTAAAGGTAATGGATACATGTGCATATCTGGGGATTGCATGCATGTGCTCTGGTGTGCATACACATATATGTAGATGCACGTGGAGTCCAAAGACAACCATGGGGATCATCCTTAGGGCACTGCCCAACTCCTTGGAGACAAAGTCTCTTATACTCACAACCTGGGCTAGACCAGCTGGACATCAAGCCCTGCGGACTACCTGTCTGCCCCTCTTCAGGGCACACACCACTAACCTGACATTCGTGTGGAGGCTATACCTCATATGTGCAAGGCAAGCACTGTACACTGAGCTCTCTCTCCAATCACTGGAACAGAGTTTTTAATTGCTCCTATAAGGTCACCCCAGTGATTATTAATATTTTCAAGAAAGGGAAAGCGTGATGAATGGCTCACAGCCTATGGATTACATATACACACAAAAACACTTTGTATTTGAAGCACTTGGTACAGGGAATTTTAAAGTACTACAAAAAACTGTAACTAGAGTCAAGAGACAAGTTTTGGAAAGCAACATGATAACAGTGCATAGTCTACAAGACTGAAAACTAAGCACAATATCTAAAACAAATTTTTTCATTTATGTATATGAGAGCTCTATCTGCATGCTTGTCTTTATGCCAGTAGAGGGCATCATATTCCATTACAGATGGTTCTGAGCCACCATGTGGGTGCTGGGAATTGAACTCAGGACCAGTGCTCTTAACTATGAGCCATCTTTCTAGTCCAAGACTAATTTCTTAAGTGTAAGAAAAGTAAGACTCATTTTGTATCTCTCTCAAATAAAAACAATTTAGTATAATTTAGATCAATATATCATACTTATTTTTTAAAAATATAAATACTGTTAAATATCAAGGAGAACTTCCAGGTGACAAAATTTAGGTCAAATGCAAAAAACAATAAATAAATTTATAAAAATCAAATATATTTTACCATCTTTGATCTTAGTACGAAAAATATTGGTAAAAGTCACAGTTCCAAATCTAAAGAAGCTTTACAACTAAAACTATATAACTTACGGGTTCACATTTAGGTGCTAGATAGATACACATTTAATATAATTTAAAGGTCTAATGCACTGTTTCATTTTCAATTCAATTTGTTGTTTTCATGGGAGTAAAGTGGCAAGAAAACTATGACCTGACAACGGATTCTTTCAAAGCAATGAGCTGCGGCCAAAGGACTCATCCCAGCCACTGCTCCATCTTGAACAAAGTTAGCTATGGCTTTTGTTTTTGCATCTACTGTGGGTAGTTCTAAGCACATCAACCGGCCTTTCCCAGTTCAAATTAACCGAGGACATGGGCAGTTAAAAGGTACAATTCTCTTCCTCAAATAAATTCTTATATTTTCTTTCCAATTTAGGGCATAAAGAGATTTTTTTTGTCCATTGCAAGTAATCCACCTGAAAACGGGTTAATCAGGCTCTCTCGTGCTACAGAGGAAATTGGATAAGAGGAGGGAGGGCAGGAAGCTATTTGGTACCTGATATGATCGGGCTTTTTCCTGTCATGTGAAAAAATGGGGCAGGGTTAAAACAAAAGGGAAAGGTGTAAAAGAAAGAAAATGCAAATGCGCAAATAAGCAAAGGACCAGCATGATACAAAAATAAGACAAAAAAATTAAAGAAACAAGCTTAAGCTAACAACCTAACAACGCAGTCAAAGAATTCATGTGTTTTATGTGTTATAAATATACATTTTATAGAATTTCATTCTTAATAAACTGAAATACTTTGAAAATATTTGAATTATTCCATTACTATTACCTTGTACACCTATTATGATTGTCTGCCTCTATGCTTATAACTCGAAAATACAGATAGTATTGTGCCACACCTTAATAAGCTGTGTAGGAAAATCACTGAATGTTTACCTACAGAAGCCGTAAGCAAATAGAAACTTTTTGGAAAGAAAGTGGGGTTACTAATTAAGAATCTGAAAGACCATAAAATAGTGACTGATAAACCTTCCACCTACCCACATCCGTCATCATCACCAAATGATAAGAGACTCCAAGGCCACATATAAATGTAACTCCTTTATTGTTTGGGGGGTAGGAAGGTGCAGATAGGGCTTGACTGTGTAGCCTAGGCTGAGCTTGCACCTATAATCCTCCTTCCTCCCTCTCCCAGGTTCTGGGACCACAGGTATGCACACTTCACCCAGCAGACTCATTTTTGGTCTATGTACACACTTCTTACTTTGAAACAAAAAGCCAATAAAAACATTTTTATCTGTACCAATAGTATATAGGGCATTTTGCTTTAAAATTTTATATAATACATTTTATACACTGGGTTATATTTTCTGATCCAACAAAGGAGTCTGCTTCTTTTATTAGCCTTGTCAACTTAGTGCTGATTATGTTAACAGTTATTTTCCTTGTTGTCTTCTTTCCAAATTCATTGTGAGATGAAAAAGAGAAACATAGGTTCCAGTGTTTACAGTCTGAATTGAAACTGCCATACTGAGAAAATGACTTAAGAAAGCTCACTCTGGCAGACCTTACATGTACGCTCAGAAAAATAAAGCACTCCCTTGGTGTCATTGTAGCACTTGGTTCTAGGACCCAATCGCACATATCCACATCTGTAGACGCTCAACTTCTCTAAGACAAAATGCAGCATTTGCATAGAATCATAAATGGGAGAGGATGTGTGTGTGAAGGACAGATAAAAAGGAGAGAAGGAAGGGGAATGGAGAGAGAGAGAGAGAGAATGTGTGTGTGAGTGTGTGCAGGCACATGAGTGTGTGAGTGTGTGTGTGTGAGTGTATATGTGTGCATGTGTGCATGTGTATATGTCGGAAAGACTTCCCATGCTGCCTTCTCTGGGATGCAGTGATTCCCCACTTGGGCCTTGCATTAAGTGAGTTCAATCACCCCTGGATTTACTCACAACTGCTATCATACTGTAAATGCTATGTAAGTAGTATTATTGCATTGCTTACAGAGTAATTATGAGAAAAAAACCCTCCATGTTAAATGCAGAGTTTGTCTTTCCTAAAATTGTTGATCCTGAGTTGGGTGAAGATGAAGAGAACAATGGGATAGCATGTTTATATGCTGCGATGCCACAAACAAGACATCCAGGAACTAGCAGGAACGAGGCTGGCAGTGCATAAAGGACATGAGATCCATCTGCTCTCACACAAGACATAATTATCATGCTACACTATACAATACTGGACACTGCTTTTAAAGGGAAGTGTAATTTATGAATGAGATATTTTTAATATTTGAGAATTCTTAATCACATTCACATGTCCCTCAGGGTAGAGACCTTTGATAGCTGATGCTGAAAATATGACATAATTTCATAAAATTATAGACAAGAGCAAATATCATTAAGATGGTGTTTGGTTTGGTCTGGTTTGCTTTGATTTTGGTTTTTCGAGACAGAGCTTCTCTGTGTAACTTTGGAGGCTGTCCTGAAACTCGCTCTATAGACCAGACTGGCCTCAAACTCACAGAGATCAGCCTGCTTCTGCCTCCTGAGTGCTGGAACTAAAGGTGTGTGCCACCATCGCCCGGCCTCTGAGATGTTTTTAATATTAAGGAATATATAGTCTTATTCAGAGAAGCAGAATGTATTATAATAAATGAGATGGAAAACTATTCATAAGATACTAAACCAAACACAACTGAAAGAAAATTATTTGCATGTCCTGAGATTAGATATCTGATAAGCCTCTTCACTGCTCCTTCTTCTCCCGTTCATGTAATTCCTTTCTGCTACATTTTGCATATGATCTGTCCCCCCGACGGTTCTGCACCAGACCTGGCTCACACTGTGGTACCACCAGGATGGTGGAATTCTTGGGGTTGGGGCTGTGTGCCGGGTGAAGATCAGTGATGGTCTCCTGAAGTAAGTGTGCTGTCAGGAATTGGTCAATTCTCTTCCTGCTCTTTGGCTTCCTATCTCAAGATAAGATCTCAGCCACACAGCTCTGCTACTGAAACACGGCCCCTCAATGGAGTCATCCAATCTTTAATTCCCAGACTACAATTCCATGAGAAAACAAATCCTTCTGCATTGCATTCATCTTGCTAAATCTCCCTGTCCTTGCTGATCCTAACGGGCACAGGCAGCCCTCTAAACAGCAGCTTCGTTTCTGAGGGGACACCATTCACAACGGGCCATTTACAGCTGCTCCGTACTCAATCTTGGTTTTGTTTTAGTATCAATGCCAGTTAATATGATTCATAAGACAAATAATAAGAAAGAAAAGGTCCACATTTGATTGATTTTATTCTACTGCTTTGAACAGCAACTGAGTTCCCCACTTTGCAGTCTGATAAGATCACATTTCTCGGGGCTGGAGAGATGGCTCAGCGGTTAAGAGCACTGACTGTTCTTCCAGAGGTCCTGAGTTCAATTCCCAGCAACCACATGGTGGCTCACAACCATCTGTAATGAGATCTGGTGCCCTCTCCTGGCGTGCAGACATATGTAGAGGCAGGATGTTGTATTCATAATAAATAAATAAAATCTTTAAAAAAAAAAAAAAAAAAAAAAAAAAAAGATCACATTTCTCACTAAAGTGGTTCAAGGAAATCCATTTCTCTTCTTGCTAACACGATGGTTATGTTTCTAGGGATTTATTGTATTTCAGCTTTTGTTTTCCTAAGATTTATGGAGGTGTAAATCTGAAGATTAAGTTTCAATTCTAACATTACACTATAACACCACACTGGCTGGATAACCTTATATAATTACTGTGCTCTAGTTGTTTCTAGTTTCCTACACTAGCTACAGAATTTGCCAATAAGGACTTAAAGGACTATGATTTTACATTTCAGCTCATGAAATACTATTTTAATTTTCTACTTTCACTGTATAATAACTAGAAGCATTCATTACTGATAACCACATCACTATAGCTGATCCTCCAGTACCCAGATCTTATTTAAAAATTCTATATAACTCAGAGCCTTAATATTAAATATCTTTATTCTTTCCAGATTATTCACTCAGATGAAGAAAGTTTTTCTTCAAATAAATCATGTACCATTTAGATTTACTACAACATCAAATACTAGAAAAATAAATGCTCAATAAACCATTGACATTTAAAAATGTCACTGATGCTTTTGAACTTCAACACCAAGAAATCTAAGTAAGTGCAATCAGAACCCATCTCAATATAGCTGTGAGGTTCCCATTTAAGTTAACACAATGTACACCAATGAACTACTGAGGAGACCCTATTCATTTTAGTAGATTCATCTTAAGGAGCATCTCCATCACTTGGTGAACGCAGAACCTGCTCCTAACACAGAGGAAGACATTTCAGCCGACCGTGCAACAGCAAATCAATTACCCAGAACACAGACACTACTCTCAATTATTTATTATAAAATTGCCCTCTTCTGGTTTAAACAAAAATTTAAAAAAATAGGTTAACCTTGAGTAAAGATCAATCACTAACATGCAGAAGGATGGCCCTGAGCCAAGATACCTTTCAATGCTATAGGTATGAAAAAAAGTAAAAATATTTCATATTTTCTTACTGTTGTGTTTTGCAATTTTTTTTTTTTTGGTTTTTACGAGACAGGGTTTCTCTGTATTGTGTGTTTTGCAATTTTTGATACAAGATAGTACTATGCAACCCAAGCTAGTCAGGAAGTGAAAATCCTCCTGCCTTCACCTCCTGGTAGGATTACAGGTGCCCTGCCCCCGTGACACCTGACTATAATTCCATTCTTGTAAGACAGTTTATATTTTATAAAAATTAATTAAGCAAAAATTCAAAGTTTTTGCTAGCCATTACAAAGAAATAATGGCTACCATTTTCTTCCCATATCCTACTTAAGTGTTATTACAAAGGCCAAAAGATCAGAACCACCTGGGTGACCCACAAGTAAATTCTTACTTTGGGGGGCAGGGTTAGACAGAATTTCCCTATGTAGCTCTGGTTGTCCTGGAACAACTAGCTCTATAGCTCAGACTGGCCTCAAACTCAGAGATCCACATGTCTCTGCCTCCTATAACTGGGATTAAAGGCTTTTGCTACCATCACCCAGCCACAAGTAAATTCTTAATAAAATAAACAAAATCATTATAGGCCAAACATTAACAAATTCTAGGTTTTTTCCTCTAAGCCTTAAGTTTCAAATCTAAAAATCTGTATTTTCACTTTTCACCTGACCCTTACGTCTCAGTGAACTATATTAAACCAAGTTATTAAGGAATTTGTAGAATTTAGATAGTTCTGGGGAGAAATAGTTGTCAATTACAAGGAAAGGCAGAAAATGGCAAACATGTTAAAATCAAGATTAATGTTTGAAGCTCGTTACCTGTTCCATGTTTTGAAGGCATTGCTGGCTCGCTTGAAGAGGTACCCTTCCATGACAATGCCATTTGCAGCGTCTACGTTATACTCTAGCTTGGAGTCGTCACTGGAGAAGTCCTAAACAAGACACAAGAGTTCAGGCAACTGTGTTCCCAGAAAAAAGGAATGTATCCAGGGAAAGAGCTTTAAAAAGCTTGCAGTGAGTCTCACACAAGCACAGGAGAAAGGGACAGCATAATTGAGATGTGCTTCAATGTATTAACCATTCAGGGTGCTGGGAACCAAACTTTGGCTCTCTGCAAGAGCAGTAAGCGATCTTAACTTTGAAGCCGTCTCTCCACCCCTGGAAGCCAGACTTCTACCTATCTTGAGAGCTCTTCTGCAGAAACTGGATGACCCTTAGCTGTGAGAAACCAGTGTTAGGGGGAAGTGAGTGAGAATCAGCCTAGGGCTTTTTAACATGATTATGCTAAAACACGAAAAGGAAATCAGGTTGAATTAAGATTTTTTTTTAATTCCTGGGATCTTTCAAATTTTAAGCATAAAAACTCAATCTATAAATGAAATATATTTCTACATATTTTTTCTTTGGAAAATAAAAACACTAGTTCCTTCTTTAAAACTATATGCACATCTATTTTTAAAATTCACATTACTTTGTGTCTGTGCATGTGCACATGTGTACATGCATGTGTACTTGCATGTGTAGTACCAAAACTGAACTCAGTAAAATACTCTGCATCAGCACATACACCCCAGCCATCTTTCACAGCAGAGCATAGTAAGTCAATAATAGACGTAATTGACTTTTGCAACATGTGTGTATTTTACAAGTGCAGACATGCTCATCTGTGCGTGTGTGTGCATGTGAAGCCAGAGGTGAACACTAAGGATCTTCCTCTGTTGCACTCTACCTTATTTTTTGAGACAGGCTCTTTCAATAAACTGGAGCTCGCCGATTTGTCAAGACCAGCTGGCAAGCAAGCTCCAATTCCCCAGCACTGGAACTGCAGATGTAGGCCACGACTCTCAGCCTTTTATAGGGCTGCTAGAATCTGACCACAGGTCTTCATGCTGACATAACATACACACTACCAAATGAACATCTCCCCAGCCCTGACCTTCACATCTTTAAAGGGTTCTTGTGCTTTCAGGTTTTGTTTTTATTTTTAAATTTTAAGTCAGCATAGAGTTCATTATGACATATTCATATGTGTAGATTTCATTTATTTAGTATTAATATATTAGTCTAGATTCAACATTTGAGAAAGAACTTACTATTTATCTTTCTGACACTTGCCTATTTTGTTTCCACTTCTATCCATCTCCCTGCAAATGACAAAATTGTATTCTTCTTTAAGGCCAAATGAAACCTGTGCACGAGTGCATGGACATGTGACATTTTCTTTAGCTTCATATCTTGGCCACAGAGAACAGCAGCAATTAACTTGGGTGTGCAGGTGTCTCTGCCAAGTGCTTCCCTTATATACTTCAGGTGCAGGACCAGGTACAGCTGTTGTCACATGGTGGTTTTACTTTGTTGGGAGGACTGAATGTGCTGTTTGTAGCATCTGTAGGCTCTTAGAAATTGAGCATAAATAATGGGGCTAGGAGTACTGCTCAGTGGTAGTGTACTTGTCCAGCATGTGCAAGGCCACATTACACTCCCAACACCAAAACAGTAATAATATAAAATATAAGGTAAAATTTCCTGGGATGTGTGAGGCACTGTAAACATGTATTCTCAACTACTTCTTGAGATTTGTGAGTCTTCTGTTATTAATGTCCCTTAATAAAGCACTCAGGTGTAACACAATGCAGTGAGTCCCATATGTAAGTGGCTAGTAATAGTGGATGCAATATTGCTGCTGGAATCTCTGTGAACACATTCATGACCTGACAGTTAGGAGGGGACACTCAAATGCAACTGGAAAGGGGGAAACTGGAAGACAAAGAGGCCAGCAGAACAAGGACATCTGGCTCTCAGGGGAACCGGGCTTTCCTGCAGAGCCTAGGAAACAGATGGCTCAACAAAGAAGGGTGAGTGAAAGCAGCTAACAAAAGCCTCCCCACAGAACCAGCAAGTGAGAGCCAAGGACCATCATCACCACCACCATTCAAGACTACTGTAAAGGTCCTAGTCAACGGGAGCATGGAAAAAAGGAGAAGGCGGGAAAAAAGCAGCACACTCACTGAGGGAGAGGAGGCTGTACACAGAACACCCAACAGAATTCAGAGAGAGTCAGTATCAAGAGCATTAGTGAGATTGCTGGGTATAAATCAATACAGGGAGATCAATCTCACCCAAATATAACAGACTAATGAACAGCGACTTTCAAAAGGGAGCAGACACAGGAACATTTGTAATCTAAGTGTCTGGGAATAAGTCTAACCAAAGGTATGTAAGAAAATCACAAAACCTTATGCAAATCATTAGAGAATATTTAAATGGAAGGTAGACTAAGACTGTGATGTGGACATTATTATAAAATAAATAAACTTGCTTTCTCATAGATCCAATATAACCTTGATCAAAATCCCAAAAGTTTTTTTAAACAAACAAACACAGCAAAGATATAAACATGAAAGCAAAGCCACATGAGACAGGTATTTGTGATCTTGTGATGGTAACTGCTGAACAAGTAACAAAAGCCCCAGGCACGGGGCTGAAAACCTAAGACACATGGATCTAGAATATATGAAGAATTTGGTCATCATCACTAAGGAAACCTGGCAGTAAAAAGGAAGAAAAGAGAACAGACATTCCACAAACAGGGACCACAAATGACTGACAGACACAACTCACTACTCACTAATGATGCATAATTTAAAACCACAATGTGATGTCCGTATCCACAGTGCAGTGGTGCAGACATTGGGGAACCTCAGCGCTGCCTGCCAGCATCCTCCACACAGTGAGCACATGTGTGCACACTGTGTGGGATGGCAGCTCTACTCCATTAGTGTGAACATCTATCCAAAGACATGCAAAGGCATGGGCAGGACATATAAGGGCACCCACAGTAATGCTATTTCTCACACTGATCAATGCAGTTGTTAAAACACCTTAAAAAGTATCAGAAATGTTTTCCCTTAAATTTTAGATGACTTGATTTTTTTTTTTACCTGTAATGCAGCCTGTGTCAGCATTTGGGGATAGAGAAAGTATTCACAATGAGTAAAACAGCATTATTTTCTTAAAGAAAACATTGTGTATTGTTGTATTATCTAAAGTCAAATAATTTCAGATTTGATGATTTACCAGTTTGAGGCCTCCGGCATAATACTGAACTATGTATATAATAAAATATTTAAAAATATATATTCAATTTAATCAGCCATCACATATTTCTAGAAACATAATTTGTTGTTTTACTAAAAACTGATTGATTCCACTTTTAGCAATCATTTGACAATAACGCCATTAAAACAAGCTATTCGTCAAAATGCCATGTTGTGTGCCCTAAACACAAAGAAGAGCCAGGCACGGTAATGCACACTAAAATCCAGGTACTCGGGAGACTGAGGCAGATGGATCATGAGTGCAAGGCCCGTCTGAGCTACACAGCAAGACTCTGGAAAGAGAGGGAGAGCAGAGGAAGGGAGCCAGCCATGAACTAAAAGTGAAACTGAAGCGGGGATGGAGGCGTACACCTGTAATCCCAGGCACACAGGAGGCAAGAACGCCAGGGCTACCAGCTCGAAGCTGGGCTGGGCAATACAGAAAGATCTGTCTTTAAACAAAAGAAAATACAGTTAGCCTCATCCTCTAGTAACTAAAGGAATTGCCTTAAGATGGCTTAACAGAATAGTCTTTCCTTTCCTACATGTTATTTTTCTTTGAGCATGAATAACCCATTAAGTATTTTTTCATACACTTACTACTGATTTTGCTTCATTTTTTCCCATTCACGTCTTCTGTGTGTGATCTGATCTAAGTAATCTGTAATCAAAGATGACCCGATTGCTTATTATCAAGAGAACAGGCCTCTAGCAGCATGTAGAAGGAACTTTGTCCTAACTTTGTATGACTAGTCAACCTCTAACTTGCCTTTTATGCTTGGGTCGCTGTACAAATCTTTCACAGACTATTACCTACAAAGTACCAAGTACCATCAGGCTACGCTTCAGACATAACACACTCAACTCTTGTATGAAGAAATAGGAACAAATGTACTACTGAATCCTCATTTTTAAAAATACTTGTCAAAGGTAGTTTAGCTAGGCATTAACAAGCAGTGAGCTGCCCTGGAGTAGCTGCAGCTGGGAAGAGAGGCAGAGAGCTGTGGGGGGAGGGGAGGAATATGCACATATGTGTACAGGTACAGATGAACACACACATGACCTCCCCCCCATGCGCACACGTATGTACACTTTGGCAGGTCGTTGTAGATATTCTAAATGAAACGCCCCTGATAGATAAGCAGTATTTATAAACTGGTTCAAGAACATAGCTTGCAAACGTTTTGACCTGGAAAGATAATGAAGTATATACATTAACATCTAAAACATTTTACTTTCCACAAAAGAAGGCTTTACTGTAAGAGCCAATCATGGGATCTATGTAACAATGGTAGCTTGTATACGGTAACTCCCGTGAATGCAAGGCAATCTAATCTGCCCTGTACCTTCTGTTGGATAGTAGAATGTTTTTGCTCCATCTCCCTTTTCTCCTTTGCTGCATCCACAACCAGTCGATCCAACTAAATGGAAGAAGAAAATTATAGACATAAAAGTTAAATAAACATAGGTATTTTGTAAACCATATTCCAAGTCATTTGACAGATAAATATAAATCACCTGATTAAAGTTAACCTAAAAGGGCAATTTTGGCTAAACATCCAAGTTGAAGTTCACATTTTTCTAGTATTAAATCCTTTTTGAGAAAGCTGGTGTCTGGGGAGGAAAAGCTTCCAAGTGGAGGCCTTGTCTTGAGCATTGTAGCAGTGTTATGTCCCATCCTTAAAGGACAGCGACTCTAACGTAAAGTGCCTGTGACCCGCTTAGAAGATGCTGGTAACTATAGACAAGATAATAGCAAAACTAAGCACACATACAAATACATGATTTGTTTTCCAACCCTAGCTGAACTAGGTAGGGCAAAGATCACAACCTCCCATCAACAGATATGTCCCTTCACTCGTCACACACCATGTTTTCAACTTGCCTTCCTTGCATTAAAATCTGATCTGTAACTGGTCAAATAAACAAGAGACAGCTTGAGAGACTGGGGGGGAAATGCAGTAATATGCTTGCTCGAGCCCAGAAGTTAAGACCAGACTGGTAAACACTGTAAAGCCCTGGCTCTGTAAGGTTAAATTAAACAAAATAATAAAAGAATATTAATTTCAGCCAGGTGTTGGTGGTGCCACCTCTAATATCAGCACTCGAGGCAGAGGCAGGCGGACCTCTATGAGTTCGAGACCAGCCTGGTCTACAGAGCGAGTTCCAGGACAGCCCCCAAAACAATATAGAGAAACCATGCCTCGGAAAAAAAAAACAAACAAACAAAAAAGAATATTAATCCCATAGTTCCAATTGTTATCTCCTACTTACTCAGCTACTACATGATTACCCTAATTGGTTACATCTAAACAGACCACTACAGAAAGTGTGGCTTAATGCATGTTTAGAAGGGGAAGGACACAAAACTGAAAGTAATAAGTACCTAAGAACAATAATTTCTACTAGCTAACTACAACATGATCTTATAAATGACACCTAATATAAAACAAATGGGTGAAAAGAGTGCCTAGAACACAGGAAGGTCTGACCCTCCCACCAGACCTGAACCAGATGCCTTAGCTACGTGCGTGTACATCACACTGACCCTCTCCTGGCGTATAAAAGGTTAACTGCTCCCAGCATCTATTTCCTCCTCTTTACTTACAACAGGAACCACCCCATACCTAATGCAACAAAGCTGCATTTCCTAGGTTTCTTTGCAATGAGTAACCGTGCAGAGGTCACTGGACGTACACAAAATGGACATCTACAATTTCTAGGAAATGTCCTTAGGCAGACACATGGCTTTCTTTTCCCTTTCCTCCTTCCTGTTAGCTGGGGTTTGAGAATGATGGCTAAGATTGATAAGTCACTTTTAACCACGAGGCAACTCTGTGGCACCAACGGCCATCAACCTGTGCTTCTGAGTTCACATAAAAGAAACAGGATTCTTTGACAGAAGTCCTAGTTTCCTAGGGTGGGGCTGCAAACAATCCCAACTCAATTGACAAATACACAGAGCGTTTGGCATGGAGATGGACAGCAATCCAGTGCAGGAGACAAAACAACAGACTGCGTGTAATCCTGGCATGATTGCACGTGATCCCATCCTCTATCCTCCCCCCCTCCCACACACGTACTTTGATCATGGAATGGTAGCCCCATTCCATTCTTACCTTTCTCCCATTTCCCTAAATTCTACTTTTTCCTTAATCTCTCACCTCAGAAAGTATGCTGGGAAAGAAAATCCTACAGATTAATAAATACTATTAAATCAGAGGAAGAAGGTTCATACTCAATAAAAAGCACAGTCCGAAGTGACCTGGGCCAAGTCAGTGGTGAAGTACATACCTAGCGTGTATAAGGCCCTGGGTTTGAGTCACAGGGCTGCCAACAGACAGACAGACAGACACACAGACACACAGACAGACAGACACACACACACGCACACACACACGCACACACACACACACACACCACACACAAAATGCTCCAAACATACTTAATACAGCTTTGCGAAATAAATGGTAATAAATGGTATTAGATGCTTTATAAGACTTTTATTACCCAAGTAGCCAATATAAATTTTTGAAAATGAAAAGAGCAATGTCATAAAAGCAAATTAGAACCGGGTGGTGGTGGTGGTCCACACTTTTAATTACAGCACTCAGGAGGCAGAGGCAGGCAGATCCCTGTGAGTTCGAGACTAACCTGGTCTACAAAGCTACACAGAAAATCCCTGTCTCAAAAAAAAATTTTAAATAAAATAAAAAATAAAAGCAAATTAGGTCAGTGACTCAATTATTCAAGTTTAAAAAATCAAGGACTAAATCCCGCTATTTGTACTATAAAAAAGCAAATGTGTATCTCAGCTGGTCTCAGCCTCCCAAGGGCTAGGACCACAGTTGTGCACCACACCGGATGGGGAAGTAATTTCAAGTCCCTTCTTCAGTTCCTTCACATTCACTATTTAACACAGGCATTTCCACCTTGAGGCTCATTTCTAGCCTCAACATTCACCCTACATACAAGCGTGCTACAGATACAGAGTCAAACTCTTTATAAGTAAATGAGTAGCCAGAGTCCCCAGTATGGGAAATATCTTTAGAAACCCAAGCATCAACAATAAGCACAGAACCGAGAAACCCAGTTCAAGAGGTTACCTGCGCTCCAAGGTCTTTCATGTAGGGCCCAAGCTCACTGAACAGGTCATAGCCTTGGTGGAAGAAGGCCAGATGTGCGTACATGAAGGACAGCATCTGACAGGGAGACAGAGGTTCAGATGCACGGCTAGAAGCTTAGAAAACGTCAGTCCTCCCCCAGTTAACATCACTACACAAGGACCCAGGGGGTCAAAGTGACTTAAAACTGAGTTGCTGTCTATTGAGAACTTCATAAATATTTGCAAATAAAGAGAAACACCTAGTGGTTTGACATCTTAACAACTGTAGTTGTTTAGAGTTAAACAAAAATTACATGGGTGATTTAAATAATATTCTCAACAGCTTCACTGTCTTACTAGTAACCCTCAAGTACATTATGAGATGTCTTTGTGGTCCTCAGTGTACACTCCCTAAGCAGAAAAGAAATTAAAAGAGAAGAAATGTAAACAGTAGCAAACACTTTAAGCTACCAGGGTCACCACCAGGCCCTAGGGAGGTGGGGGGACACTGTAACCTACCAGAGGCACCAGGCCCCAGGGAGGTGGGGGGACAAAATTGTTCTTTTTCCCAAAAAACAGATACAAGTGGAGATGGCACAGACTTGTCTGTTTTTAAAAGGCTATTTATTTATTTGTTTATTTTTGTGCTGTAGATGTGTGTTCACACGTGCCTGGGAGCATGGAGGTCAAAGGACATCTTGAAGGAGCCAGTTTCCAGTCTGAACGGAACTTAGATCCAGGCTCAGCAGCGAGAGTCTGCATCTGCTCAGCCACCTCCCTGGCCCTAGGAATTCCTCTATATTCATTCCACAGATCCAAAATGGACATTAGGTATAGAGTGCCAGTCCCCAGACTTTTCTAGACTTTATTAACTCACAAAAGAAAAGACACCCCTGTTTTTATTAGTTAAGTTTTATGGGAAGAAATTATCTATAACTAAATGTATGCAAAGGAGCTCCTAAGACCTGCTTTATTTTTTAGCAAGAACAGACATCTGTTTAATATTCTAAAAACTAAAGTAGTCATAGGGGTATTGATACTCAAGAATCCTCTACAGAAAAAAAAATTGTTTTCAAATTAAAAACTAGTTACATAAAATTCAAAGATTAAAAATAAAAACTCACCTATAAAAATTAGTATATTGTTAGATAATGGTAATAATTCTACAACTGTGTGAAAATATTTTTCAAGCCACTAATTTATAAAGAGGAATTGATAAGATTATATAAAAATGTAAAATACGCTGGCCAGTGGTGGCGCCTGCCTTTAATCCCAGCACTCGGGAGGCAGAGGCAGGCGAATCTCTATGAGTTCCAGGCCAGCCTGGTCTACCAGAGCTACTTCCAGGACAGCCTCCAAAGCCACAGAGAAACCCTGTCTCGAAAAAAAACGAAGAAAAATAAAATAAAATACAGCAGGTCACACTATAGTTTCCACAACAAAATTCTTCTCCTTTTTGTTGTTGTTTTTGTTTTGTTTATTTGATTTGGTTTTTGGGGGGTTCTTTTAAATTTTGTTTTGTTTGGGGAGAGAGGTTGCAGGGATGGAGGGCAAATTTGGGGTCTGGAAGATGGATGGGATCAGAATGCATGATGTAAGATCCACAAATAATCAATAAAAGCATTTTAAAAAATGTAACATACCTTATCCATCAAAATACATACTAAGAATATTAAAAAATAAATGCTAACCCAGGAAAGCACAGCAGCAGATCAGTGGTCTGAATACATAAAAGGAGCCACAAATCAGTACAAAAAGTGAAGACTTCAACAGAGTGAGAACAAAGGACACACATGTGGCTCGTAGAGAGCCAGGAAAGTGTGTGGAAAAATGAGCAAACTCTGAAAATGCAACGTGCAACATGGAAATCTCACTCTCTGTCTATCATACTGCAAGTATATGGAAAAATGAGCAAATTCTGAAAATGCAACGTGCAACATGGAAATCTCACTCTCTGTCTATCATACTGTAAGTATAAGGAAAAATGAGCAAACTCTGAAAATGCAACGTGCAACATGGAAATCTCACTGTCTATCATACTGTAAGTATATGGAAAAATGAGCAAACTCTGAAAATGCAACGTGCAACATGGAAATCTCACTCTCTGTCTATCATACTGCAAGCAGGGACGGTGAGGAGCAGGGCTATAATGCCCACTGTGGCTAAAATCAGTAGAGAGATGGCTGCTCTCACACATCTTACAAGTACTGAAATTTGGTAGCATTTTTAAAAAGCCTTTTCCAGATTTGAAAACTTTAACTAGGGCTGGGAAGATAGCTCAGGGGAGAAGGCCACTGATACTAACACCTGGAGTTCAAACCTCTGGATCCCATGGTAGGAAAAGAGAACCTATTTCCACAAGCTGCCCTTTGACCCTCCACATGTTCACCATGGGGGAGGGGGCTGGAGAGATGGCTCAGCAGCTGAGAGTACCTGTTGCTCGGCGAAGACCTGGGTTCAGTTCCCAGCATCCACATGGCAGCTCACACCTGTCTGCAACTCCAGTTCCAGGGGATCTGATGCCCTCTTCTGATCCTTACAGGCACCAGGCATGCATGTAGTACATATACATGTGTACAAAACACACGTACACATAAAATAAAGAAATCTAAAAAATGTTTTTAAAAAGAAACTTTCTAAAAAGCAAATACACCTGGGCTGTGGTGGCACATGCCTTTAATCCCAGCACTTGGGAGGCAGAGGCAGGCCAGTCTCTGAGTTCGAGGCCAGTCTCGTCTACAGAGTGAGTTCCAGGACAGTCATGGCTACACAAAGAAACACTGTCTCAAAAAACAAAAACAAAAACAAACAAAAGAACAAATACAAGTAAAAGAAAATTCAAGATGATGATCATATTTGATAAGTTTCAAAACAATCCTGAAATATTCTAGCTACGTTTCATAAGTATTAGGTATCTAGACCACATAAAACATTACACTAGCCGGGCGGTGGTGGCGCACACCTTTAATCCCAGTACTCGGGAGGCAGAGGTAGGCGGATCTCTGTGAGTTCGAGGCTGGGCTGGACTGACAGCCTCCAAAACAACACAGAGAAACCTTGTCTCATAAAAAACAAAAAAGAAAAAAACATTACACTAGAATAACAGAGTGGAGCACCAACAGAGTGTCTGTCTTTGGGGGGGAGGCCATATGTTAGTTACACAGACACATCAACAGCTATACCTTGAAGTAGACAACACAGGAGCTAGAAAGGGAAGCCAAGGGAGCCAAGGGATACTGGGCAGAGCATCACACTACAGGGATTACAAACGCACAGTCTCAGTTAACAGCGTTTCATTAAGATCTTACTGATTTCAGGATTTCTGATCTCCTCTTGGATTGAAGCACGTTAATCTGAGGGAAGATAAACTTGGTTAATCATCCATGAATTAGTAACCCACGAACAACTAACCCAGAATACAAGACTCTAAACTCGTGCTCACGATCCCAAGCAAAGCCTGTTTTCATCATTAATCCTCTTTTGGCTAAGATTTATGACAAGCATATCAGTGAATGCTCAACCACATTCGAGCTCAGTGAAAACATTGGTTCTTCAAATTACAGCATCGTTGTCATGGAGCCATTTTAATACTTGAACATGTGACATGTCCATCTTCCTCCACCCTCCTCATCTACCTGAAGATCAAGGTTCAGCCACAGCCTCAGTGCCAATCATGACCATTTACCACTTTCTATCTTTCCTGGGCTGCCTCTGTTTCCCTTCTTGGCTCCATGTGTGTGGCTTCTTCTCCACACAGGTGCCGCAGTGATTTTGCTAATATAAATGAAGTCATATTACCTCCGTGTTTAAGTCCTGCAACCTCCTAGCATATCCAAGGCCACTATGCTGAGGCCCCCAACACCTCTCCAGCCCAGTCCTCTACTCCGCCCTTTCTGTGCTCCTGCCAGACCTGTCACTGTCCCACAGGTGCTTTGGCACTGGTGTTCTGCCTCCATGTCAGGATGCTCTGCCCTGGTAACTTAGGGCTGTTTCTTACTAATCCTGGCTTCAACTACACACCATCTTCTTACACAGGTCTAACTCAGTACCTGACTCCTATTTACCGATAACATAACTTCTATTTATTTTTATTTTGGTTTTTTGGTTGTTTGTTTGTTTGTTTAGACAGGGTCTCACCATATAGCTTTGGCTGTCCTGGAAATCACAATGTAGACCAGGCTGGCCTCAAACTCACAGAGATTCACCTGCCTCTGCATCCCCGGTGCTTACTTTATGTTTTCTTACAATGAGTAAGGAAGTATAAACTCCACGAGATTCGAACCTTCTACTCAGGTCTAGTCCCCGAGCAGAACACAGTGAGCATATGTTTAACATGTATGTAACATAAATACATGCTAAAGGGAAGGATTTAAGAATTTTAATTACGATCGACTTATTACAATGCAACAAACCAGGGGTCAGGGTGCATGCCTATAATCCCTGTGAATAGAGGCAGGAGGGTTATGAGTTCAAAGCTATCCTTGGCTACTGGGGGGAGGGTGCCTTAACAGGACTTTTGCAATTCTAGAAATTCCTAACAAATATTTTCATCTGTTTTTTTAAAAACAAGCTTATATAAATAAAACATTGATCCAAAAGAGGCGCTTCACTCTTCATTAATGTTGCCAAAAGAGTATGGAACATCTTCCAAATGCCTGCCTCACTGGACTCTGGGTCGATTAAATAAGGGGATTATAAAACATAATCTTAAAAACAAAAACAGACCAAGAGACCTCTAACTTCTCACTTCCTTCTGCATGTCTGCTCACAGCCTGCTCAGCTCTGCAGCACATGGACGCCACGTGCAGGCTGAGCGGAGGCCGAGCACAGGCTTCAGCTTTGCTTCTGTTTTTCCTCTATGGTTGGGACAAAAATTCAAACTCAAGGGAAACAGTCAATTCAAATACATACAGGAGCTAAAACACTTTACACTTTGGGGTATTTTTACCTATTATTCTCTAAAACAGCTACTCTGGACACAAAATAAAATGACCCAAGAATTCTTATGAGAGCTATCAAATAAATTCATAGTTAGAAGGGAGTGAGCATGGAGGTTAATGTAATACTGTCAGATGAACTCAAAGGAAATACACAATTATTATGTTTCCGTTTGAAAATAATGGATATTTTAGCCAAAGCCGGAGTGGCGTTTGAAAGAAAATGCCCCCTAAAGGGAGTGACACTTATTAGGAGGTGTGGCCTTGTTGGAGGAAGTGTGTCACTGTGGAGGTGGGCTTTGAGTTCTCCTATACGTTCAAGTCACACCCAGTGAGACAGATCACTCCTTGTTGCCTGTGAGTCAAGATGGAGGAACTCTCATTCCTTCTCCAGCACCATGCTGCCTGCCATGACAATAATGGACTAAACCTCTAATTGTAAGCGAGTCACCACAATTAAATGCTTTCCTTTATAAAAGTTGCCATGGTCATGGTGTCTCTTCACAGCAATAGATAGCCTAATTAAGACAGCCCATTACATAAAAATTCTTAATGTGTCATCATTCACTCTTTTAAAAAACAAAAATCATATACCACCTATTTTCCAACTACTGGGATAGAAGCTGACTAGGACTACAGGCCTCAGTCTACATATAAATGCTGGCCACCCCAGCATGAGGACCTGAGTTCAGTCCTTAGAACCACGTAAAGCATCTGGGTACATCAGCACATGCCTACAATCTCTACTATGGGGCAGGGGGAAGAGGCAGATCCCTGGGACTGGCCAACCTAGCTTAGCTCCAAGCCAATGAGAGAGAGACATCTCCATGACACCCAAGTTTGCCCTCTGGCCTCCATATGTGCATGTGCATACATATACATATATATACGCAAAAACAAAACTATGATAATTTAGAAATAGAAAACACATGTAGAGGTCAAAGAGATGTTTAGTTGGTAAAGTGCTGGCCTTGTGCACACAACAACCAGCATTCAGTCCTTAGACCCCACATAAAAATACGGGCATGGTAAGAGTAGCTGTAATTCCAAAGATGGGCAGATTAAAAGGATCCGGGTGCTCACTGGACAGCCAGGCTGCTCACCAGCTAGTCTAATTGGTGAGCTCCGGTCCAATGAAAGACTGACTGAAAGGAGGTGCACAGTGTTCTGGAGGATGACATCTGAAGTGGTCATTTGCCTCCAAAAGTGCACATGCATGCCTGTGCAAAGCCTCACACTCACAAGCACGCATACCCAGAGATAAATAAATACACATTTCCAGTCTTCCCAGTGGTGCCACATGAAACCAGCACAGCCCCCTGGGCTTTCACCTCGAAGGGGGGTCATCTCCTCGTAGGGCTTTGGGGGTCCATCTTCAAAAGCAGCCAATGAATTGCAGAACCTTCAGCAGTTAGTGAAGCTGGTGCCACCAGAGCATATGGGTCGCAGGTGCGCTGCTCGGGGCAAAGCAAAGCAGGAGCTTCACCCAGAAAACCGTTTCTCACAGTGAGTTCCTCAGAAGTTGATGCTGGGGTTATGTTTAAATGCACTCATAAAATTTTTGAAAAACTGAAAAAAGTAAACAGTAAAAGCTAACACTATTTAAGCCTGCTAGTCAAATATCAATTAAACTAAATAGAAATACTGCAGAATAAAGTATGTGTAGTATATTACAACTAAGTAAAAAGGAGAAAGAAATCAGAACTGAAGACAGCTACATTCACATACATGTGTGTGCACAGCAACATATGTAAACAGGTGAAAGTTTTCCATAAAATGTCATGTTTCCCCCTGGCAGTAACAATGTATCTAGAGCCATTCACTCCAAAGACTGAGGCAGAAAGGTACCAAGTGGAGGCTAGCCCAGGTTACACAGAGAATTTGAGGCCAGCCTGGGCTACATAGTGAGTGTAATTTTTAAAAAACTAAATTACAAAAAATTTAGTTCAAAGAAAAAGTGTTATTTGTCCTAGCACAGTCACTCCAAGGAGCCTGCTGCATAGCTGCTGGAAGGCGTGAGGCTGGACCGACCAACCATACCTGAAGGACATAGTCAAGGGCGATGTGCCGGAAGCACTTCCTCGTGGCTGTGAGAATGTTCGTGGCCTCTTCAACTTCATGCTGTTTGTTTCTTTGAACTTGGGCGTTTTTTACTAGTGCATTTTCCTTTTCCTCGCTGACTTTTTCAAATTGTTTCTTGGCATCTTTGAATTTTCTAAGATCTCTGAAAAATAAAACTTTAGTAAAACTTTCTCCAAAAGTCTGGCACAAAAAATAAATAAATAAACCTTAGACCGTAATGCTATTGTCCCTTGCCTTATGTGTCTCCTCAGGCATTGGCAGTCATGAGCTAATCCAACTGAAGTTGGCATCCTTCCCAGATCCTGGTCGTCACTGTCCTTAGATGCCTGGACCAGGGAAACTCAGATCTGGGACTTCTGGGGCTTAGGGTCATTTATACAGACCTCTAGTCTGCACCTTAATCCAGTACTCAGAGCTGAAAGCTCAAAAGTTTCAGATTTGGACGATTTTACATTCTAAGTTTTGGCCTAAGGGTACCCATCATTCTGTGTATATAGACCGTAAATGAGTGAGCTAATGTTTTGTTATTTTAATCTGTATGATTCAAATGGAAACAATGATAACAATCAATGCAAGAAAACTGAAAGATATTTTTTTTTTTTTGGTTTTTCAAGACAGGGTTTCTCTGATAATTTTTCTAAAGATAAATTCCAAACATGCACATGATTTAAACATGATACTGTTTTCTAAATATTAGTGCAAAATTTACTATAGAAAATGTGTATAAGAATGCAGACTTGAATGGCCTTTCCCAAAGATTAAAATTCATTTATCTTCCAGATAAATCCTAAGAATCTGGCAAGTATTTTAACACACGTGCAATTACAACTCTGGGGGGGACTATGGTAGGAGGGTTATTGACTCCCGGCCAGCCCAGGCTACAGAGCAAGACTCTGTCTCAAAACACCAAAAACTGGAAGCAGAAGAAACAATTTATTGTAAGAGGGAATTATTTGGTAAGAACACACAAAGGATAAAAATAAAAAGCCTTTAAACACACGTGTATACAAATGTGTAAAGAGCTGAATCCAGTAAAGGCTCACAACATGCCATGTAATCGTGTGAAAAGGTGAAGCCCCTGTCCCTTAGTGATCTCAGGTAAATGCATAATTCCTCTCTGCTGTAACTACTACTAGTGACTACTACTAGGACGCTGACAAAGTAAGTTGGGACAAATGGTTTTTAATTATAATAAACATGATTAAGAAAAACTGTATAATTGATTTAAAACACTCCACAAGTTAAACAGGCTGAGCGTTAAAGCATTCTGAAACAATCTGATAAACAGAGCTGTGAGGAGCTGGAGAAATGGCTCAGTGGTTAAGAGCACTGGCTGTTCTTCCAGAGGACCTGAGTTCAGTTCCCAGCACCCACATGGCAGCTCACAACCATCTGTAACTCCAGTTGCAGGGGACCTGAAGCCCTCATACAGACATACAGGCAAAACCCCAATGTACATTAAATAAATAAATGCTTAAAAATACACTTTCATATATTATACCCTTACTTATCTTTAATACTGTATCACAATTAACAGAAATTTATACACTCTCCACTGAAAATCATAGAAGAAAAACTAAATTACTAATGTGAAAAAAATGTTTTTCTTAACGTGGAAAGTTTGGGCTTTCTTTCTACTTCTACTTCAATTTTATTTCATATGTAAACATGATAAATCTCTTCCAAAGGTCATATATAACAATATATAATTTCTGTGGCTCTTTCTCATATATTATCTTTTCTTCTAAGAAAATGCCCACAGTGAGATGAAACAACCTAGCTTCAAATACAGTATCTTAATCACTGTTGGGGCTTTTTATCTACATTTAGAAAACTTTCCGGACTTAACCAGAAGAACCATTTAAACATATGTTCAAGGTGAATCTGATTCCATTATAAACTCAGAAAGGAAGGAAGGAAGGGAGGGAGGGAGGTAGGGAGGGAGAGAGGGAGGGAGGAAGGAAAGGAGGGAGGAAGGAAGGAAGAGAGGAAGGAAGAAAGGAAGAAAGGAAGAGAGGAAGGAAGGAAGGGGAAAAAAAGAAATGTATTTCCAGAAATTTAAGACCTATAATGTCTTTCTCTTTTAGCATCTTTAGCCACACCCCCCGGGGCCACCACACCCACCCACCCCCAGCAACCAGAGGCTGCCCTCCTCACCACAGTTGACTTACTCTTTAACAAAGTTCTGAAGCTGTGCCTTAATTGATCTCTGAGTTTGGTCAAACAGGATCTAGAAAATAAAATATAGCGTTAAACATTAGAAAGGAAATGGAAATGGAAACAGACATTCCATGGCACCTCACCAGTCAAAACAGCTTATGTCTTATTGAAGACTATGAAAGACAGCAATGAAAGAAACTGAAGCCAATTTTAAGCCAAATTCTATCAGTCTCAAAAATAACTTGCTTCTCTTCACTACAGAAAAGAAATTTGGTGGAAAAAAAAACAAAACAAACAAAAACACTTAATTCTTAAATTTGGAAGACAACCCAACAGTAGCATAAATTTCTCTTTCTCCATCCCAGCCAAAAGCAGGCTCAGCACTGAGTGACACCCAGGGGAGTTTTTCACTGGGTTAGACTTGGGAACAGAAACAATGGATGTATTGAATTCCAGTGAGCATTACACAGTCTTTTGGGTCAAAGGACAGCTGTGTCCTCAGAGCAGCATTTTGTCCAGGTGTAATGATGTCCATACCCAACACTGGCGGGTCTTCCCTACAGAGATTCCAAGTGCTTTTTAACAGTTTTCACAATTAATTCAAATTCAGAGTCTGAAACAGAGTCTTCACTACAGAAATTCCAAGTGCTTTTTAACAGTTTTCAGAATTAATTCAAATTCAGAGTCTGAAACAGAGTGAGGTGAACAGGGGGAAAAAAACAACACACAAAACACCAACAACAACAACAACAAAAACCTTGTGTTTATCCAGGTGGTGTGGCACACACCTTTAATCCCAGCACTCGAGATGCAGAGGCAGAAGGATCTCTCTGAGTTCGAAGCCAGCCTGGTCTATAGAGTGGGTTGACAGGACAGGCTCCAAAGCTAAAAAGAAACCCTGTCTTTAAAAAAAAAGTGTGTGTGTGTGTGTGTGTGTGTGTGTGTGTGTATGTGTGTGTGTACACGAACGCACACACATTCTAATCCAAGATTCTACTACATCTGCCCAATTTGCTTCCAGAAAAATAACTTTTTTCACCTACATTCTATTAAACCCAATGTAACCAAAAGAAACAATAGAAATCAAAATGCAGATAACTAGAAAATTGATAAAGAAAAATCAATAAAATCAACGCATAGTTGAGATTATAAAACTGGTAAATGCAGAGCAAAGGCCATGACAAGAAGAGAGAAAGGGAAGAGGGTCCCTCTGGCAATTTCCACAAGACTGCTCAAGAAAGTGTCCCTAAAGAGAAAGCATATGTAACTGCAGGTGGATATTAGAGTGATTAGATACAGCCAATTAAAATTACCAGCCAGCCAGGGCTACCGTCCTTTACAGGGAAGGGACTGTATGACAGACACTGACTGCAAAGTGGCCGCTCTAAAGACGGTTTTCAACAGCCCACTGTCTCTTAGATGGAGGCAGTTTCCACTTTAATGCCCTGCCTACTGTGCTCTTGTGATAGGCTCAACAAACCTCTCTTCTTCTACGCTGGTCTACAGGGTAAATAATTATATGAACATAACTATCTAGTAAAAGATATGACAAGGGAAATAAAAAGGCCAAGTTTTAGATAGTTAGGAGGCAGTGTATGACCTCAGCACAGACTGATATAAAAGAGATAGTAATTGTGCTTGGGAACCAATTATCCAATTATAAGCCTAGAAACTCAATAGAAAAGGGGGTACTTTTTTTCTGAAATACAAAATCTGCCAAAGCTCACTAAGGAATCAACAACTAGCAGACTTAAGAAATAACAAGTGTGATTTAAAACCCACATATGATGTACGGTCAAGCTGGGCTACCTAGCAACCTCACCCCTTCCTACTGATCCAAGAGAAAGACATAGGCTCATAGAAACAGCTAGAGCTAAATTTCTACAGCAGCTGTATTCACAACTGCTGAAGACAGAAACAACTTAAATGCCCTTCACCATGAAACAAAAAAGACATGAAGATGGTAATATAAAGGAACAACTTGTAACACACACAAACAGATGAGTCTCGGCACACTTGGCTAGGTAAATAAATCCCATTCATAATGCCTCATAAGCTATGATTTATATGGCATTTAGGAAAAAGCAAAGCTATAGGAATAGAAAACAATCAGCAATTCCTAGTAGAGAAGGGAAGAGAAATGTATGTTAACTGAAGTGAGGAAGGAACCATAAGAGTGCACTGGGTGTGTGTGTGACAGTTACTGTGTCATTTTGATTATAGTGTCACAACAAACACACATACTGTCAAAACCTCTAAAGCTATAGGCCACAGGAAATCAATTTCCACACATGTAAATTTAAAACAGACAAAGCACGTGGCAAGCATATGGACACAGGACACATTCCTATCACTCAGTGTGATTTCCTTAAAGTACAAAAGATGACATTTCAGCAAAAAAAAAAAAAAGAAAAAAAGAAAAAAGAAAAAAGAAAAAAGAAACTAAGGAAAAGTAACTGAAAACCGTCGCATTATACTTGATCTTAGCCAAAAGGCCAAGAGGTGGTACCCACCGCCAGCATAAACACGCTGAGGAGCATGTGACACAACTTCAGCTCACACACTGCTGAGGGAGACTGCAGCAATTGACTTTGGAGAACCGTCTCCAAATTTTGAAGGGTTTGTTTTCTTTAATGATACTAAAATTTTAAAGAATGTAATATGAAAAAGAAATTGTAATATTTAAAATGAATATTCATATATGAAATTGTTTTTCTCTACTTTTTTCTCTTAGCACGCAATTCCTTCATTAACCAAGCAGTAAAAAGTCACACAATGGCCATCCTAGAAATGAGCCACACTACTGTTAGGTTTCCAACCTGCCACAAACAGTTGGGTGCCTATTTAACATATCAAAGCAGACACTGGCAGCCAGGCTCCCCCTGCACCCCTCAGTCCCCACCCTTTACAGGGGACTCCTGGCTGGCATACCTGGTCCTCTACCCTAAACTTTCCAGTTCAGGGGCCAGACAGCCCTTCCCTATATAACCAAACACCTGGCTTGCCTGGGTCCCTTTCATCTGTCCTCTTTTGTGCCTGCTGGCTTCTGCACCTAGCTCCCCTGTCCCCTCCTCAAAGGGCTCAGGGTCAGGTCCACTCTGGACTCTCCTAGGTGTCCTGCCTCTGGCTATGCTCTCTGACATAGCTACCTTCTCCTCCACCATACTTAGGATCAGTCATGTTCCTTTTCCTTTTTCTTTTTTCATTCAACTACCCCTAGACATTTATATACATACAATAAATGTTTATCTACAGATATATATATATATGCATATATTTAGGTAGGTAGGTAAGTATGTAACAAGCAATTGTATCTTTAATAACCAAAACTAAAAAGTGATAAAAAGGTACACTGTGGCCGGGCGTTGGTGGCGCACGCCTTTAATCCCAGCACTCGGGAGGCAGAGGCAGGCAGATCTCTGTGAGTTCGAGGCCAGGCTGGACCGACAGCCTCCAAAACAGAGAAACCCTGTCTCGTAAAACCAAAAAAAGAAAAAAAAAAAGGTACACTGTGGTACACTTAAAATAAGTCCACTTTTTTTTAAAGGGTCTCACTATGTGGCTCAGGCTGTCCCAGAACTCACTATACATATTCCAGGCTGGCCTCCAACTCAGAGACTATGCCTCCCAAGTGCTAGGATTAGAGGTGTGTGCCACCACATGGGGCACATTTTTTTTTCTTTCCTGAGATAGATCTGATGCCCAGGCTGGTCTCTAACTGGATTGTAACACTCTACCCCTCTGGGCCACTCAAGTAGCTATGACCAAAGGGGCACACTACTTCACCTGGAACATCCACAAATTCTTAATTCTTCTCTCCTCAAGTGGGAGCTGTCACTTGCTTCTTCCAAACAGGAATGAAGGAAACACAATATGACTTCTGGGACTAGATCATGAAAGGCCCTTCCTCTTGGGTCACATTTGGAGAGTAACAGACGCCATGTCAAAAGGACACTCATGCAGCCCTATAAAGAAGGTCCTCGGTGAAGAGCGTGTGCCTTCTGCTTGCTAAGAAGTACATGGATCCCACCAGTCCACGTGAGGACTTCAAATGACTAAGGTCCCAGCCCCAATACTTTGGCATCATCTTGTCAAAGATATCAAGCCAGAGCCACCCAGTGGACCTCTCCCAAACTCCTAACTCAGAAAGCTATAAGGTTAATAGGCCTTTATTATCTTAAACCTCTAAGTTTGGGGTTAATTGTAATACAGCAATAGATAATGTAGTCATCAACAAATTACTGAATATACAACTGGTAAAATACTCATATGACGCAATGTTACCGAGCAATAAAAAGAAGTCAACTATTACACATACAATCAGTGTGTCTCAAGACAATTAAAAGTTACTAAAAACACCCCAAAACAAATTGATCACTTATGATAGACTACAGATCAATAACTGACCAGGAGCAAGGAGGATTGAGAAAGAGAGAAGGAATTTCAGAGAAGTAAAATAGAAACTTTAGGGGCACAAAATATGTCAACACTTACCAAAATGTATAATTATGCAATATGTATACTATTCCACAGTGACACTGTAAAAAGCATTCCAAAGGAAAAATGTATTTCAAAAATATAACGTATCGTCCATATCCTCCAAAATACTGCATTCCCAAAATAAAAATTTATATGCATTTGAATAGCAAGAGAAGTATTTTAAGGAACTCAATAATCTCACTTGCTTGAATCTTTCTGAAAAAAGACCTCACTATGTAGTTCTGGCTGGTTGGAGAGTCATTGTTGCCAAGGCTGCCTTCAAGCATACGGTTTTACCTCCTCAGCCTCCCCTTGCAGGCATGCACAATCACACGATGGTGTTACAGGCATGCACCATTGCACGAGGCTGACCTATGCATCTTTATTTCATACTTTACAGTGAAGATGAGACTGCTGATGCTTAGGCAACTGAATAAAAACTGTTTCCTATTAGCCAAGGTCAAGACACACAGTTACCTAACGACAAACTTTCCCAGTGCTGATCTGTGTACAGAACTGCCTCAATTAGCCAACTGGAGTCTCAGCTCTGCTCAGCTCCTGGTCTCTAATCCACACCTGGCTAAGGCATAT